GAACTTTGCTTCAGTATGAGAACAGAAATTGTGCTCCGGCGGCGCGGCAGCAGCGGGAGGCCCCATTAGCTAAAGTGGTGCTTCAGGTTAAGAACAGTTTCAGGTTAAGTACAGCCCTCCAGAACGAATTAAGTACTTAACCTGAGGTACCACTGTAACTGGGATGTTAACGCCTTGGACAGAGGCTGCTTAAATTTCTTACTACATCTTTGTGAATTGTGTACACCTTTTCCACATTAGGCATCATCGTTTACAAACGGCACAATAGCTTATCTTCCATGTACACAGAGCAAACTCATTCAGTTCACAGAGATGAGCTGCAGTTGCTTAACTACACACAACCATTATCTACACGGTTAATCTAGTTGCCACCTTCACAGCATGGAATCCCTCACGGTTAGTTTTAGCTGGGAGAGGTTAGCTTCCCAGTTGGTAAATTGTTATTCTTGGTGAATGCCCTTTTCACTGCTTAACAACTCTTTCTCAATGCTAGGCCTAGGTAATCACCAGTGCTCTAAGCCAGAGGTTTATTTGGCTAGTAATTCCAGAGGCAGGGCCCTGTGGCTTTGGTGGTAAAGTCATCTGGCAGCCAGCTGGTTTCTACCCCCAACTTTCTTCAGGTTTCTCTTCCCTGCTGAATCAATGAAATATTTCAAAATGTTTCCTGCTCCCAATCATCAGCCTTATACTCAACTGTGATCCAAAAACAAGCTAATATGCAAAATATATACCAAAGAGATGGCTAAGCCACACTAGAAGCTCTTGCATTCAGAATTATTGCCCAGAGGCCTTATTTCAATAGGCTGAAGAAATAAGGTCTGAACTGGTCAATCGGTGAGGCTTATATTCACTACAGGGAAGCTTAAACAGAGCAGTCTGAAGGAACAGGGATGAGTCGTAACACTATAATGAGGCAAGAGAGCACAGAACAGCAGTATAAACAAACAAATCCTCATATGCAACAATGAGGCATTTAGTATTAAATGTAATGTGAGATTACCTTCCATTTTCACATACACTTCTGGAAGCGAGGTGGGGATGAAAAAGGGCTCAGCAATCACCGCTGGGTAGACCAGATGAAAAGGGTCCTTGTACTTTTAATCACTGCATAGAAGAGGGAATTTTATCAGGCAAGGCGTGGGGGTAGAAACACTGCACCAGCTGAAATTTCCACTTTTACAAACGATTAAAGGTGTAAGGGCCTGACTTCCTCAGCATCCATGCAGTCACCATAAATTACATGGAATGAATGTACTTGCTGCAATTCAAAAAGTTGTTTATTATTGTAGTGTTGGTCACCAAATGAAACAGGAGAAGCTAGAGGCATTGTAGTTAATGTTGTATTTTCAAAAACTTCTCTTGTTTTTCATGGCTAAAAAACCTCGCTAATTTCAGGGCAAATGGGATCATGTTTGCTCCAAACCCACAGGGCTTGAATACTGCCCTGTTCCCTTGAAAAACAGACACATTTGCGTGTTTCTCTGGGCTCCTTAGGAGTCAGCTAGCCAGTCATGCTTGGAGAAGAGCCAACAACTAATTGAGAAGCAGGATAGGTGGGAAGGAACAGGTTAAGTAGATTACCATTGAAGCTTGTAAGCCGCCACTCTATGCATGCCATGCAGCTATCTTCAGATGGCCACACACCCCCTCTCACTTACCTGACATGATCTGACTAATCAGGTTCAGGAGAGGTAAAGCTGCATCTGCCAAGGAACCACTGGGACTGCACAGGTGCATCGATTGTTCCTTTGGCAACGAGGCTTCATTTGGTGCTGCTTAAATCCAACTCCAACTGCAAATCCCACTGGGATCAGCTCCAGCTGGAGGCTCCCAAGCCAAGTTCACTAGTGGAGTCAATCCCTCTTGAAAGCAGAGCTTGTATTTGGTGCTAAATCAATCAATCAATAAATGCAAGCCCAACATTCAGCAGGAATCTTTGCAGACACAGCTTGGATTCAAACCAGGGTTGCAGAGGAAGTATCACCTGACCTTGTATGACACCAGGTGATAGACAGGTAGGCAGTCTCACTCACATGTCAAAAGTGGGCTGTAGAGACTGAGCTGGATTCAGTCCCCACTCCCATGCATGCTTCCATACGTACATCTGGAACCCTCCTCCTGCCATGCCTGGAACTAATATATGTAACAAATACAAATGAACATCTTTAATCTGAGAAAGACAAAATGGTGGTGTTTTAAGTTGGTAAACTGACTTGCTTTTAACTAATAATATGCAATGTGATCCTATGCTTGTTTGCACAGAAGTCAGCCCCAAGGTGTTGGTGCAGCTTATTCCTTAGTAAATATGGTTGTATCCAGTTTTATTTATCCAGTTCCCAGTAACTCCGAACACAGGTGCCATTTTTAAACTACTGAATGAAAATAATTTCCTTTGTCAGTAATACGGATAAATAATTTCTTTTTGTGAAACCAACTTCAACACATTGCCTGGATTAAGAAATGTTAATAGATGCTTTGTAATGCAATAAACCCCTCTATTCACTGGATACCACTATGTCACAAAATATAAATCTATTAATCAAATTAATGGTTGCTGTTGGCCCTGAGAATTGCAAATCCCACTGGCTCAACTTCAGATTATAGCATTCTTCTATATTAATATTCCATAACAGATTTGCCAATGTGAAAAAAGGAAGCTGAAACACTAAACTTTTCAGCTAGCATAGGCTTCTTTTGAGATAGGACTAATCCAGAATCCTTATCTTCAGTGCTATTTTTCTGGGGAAAGAGGTGCCGGAACTCACCATGAATGCCTCCTTCTCTTAGAATGGCAATGGCACCCACCTGAAAGGTGCCTGAATTGAATTCCGGCAAATTCCCCCTGGAAATCTCTCATTTTGCCTCATAAGACCCAGCAATAATCAGGCAATGGGATTAGTTATTGGCCAACTGCATCTTTGGCAAAGGAAGAAACAGACTAGAGATAGACGCTGTGCCATCTCCTTAAGGGGTTAAGATCTTGACTTCAAGAAACTGAACTGAACTATTGAGAACTGCCCCACTGCTAATCCATCTCACCCCATTGTGCCTGTCATCGCAATTGCTCACTCATCATTTTCTATCAGGTTGAGCAGGTTTGGGGCCCCCAAGAGAGAGCCCCTGCCTTGGGAGACGTGGATCTCATTTGTGAGGAGAGGGAAAGTTCAGACCCAAAGCATAATATTTTTGCATTTCATCTGATTTCAATTTTGACGGCTGCCTTTAAGTTATTCCGCTTGCTGTTGTGTTTTGAGTGGAGAGGAGACAGCAGGGCGGCAGAGTAAGGGGGCTTCTGCAAATATTTGCACGCAACCTCAACAGGCTGTTGTGGAAACAACTTTCCCTCCAAAGAGGGAAACCATGCTGTTCCCATGTGATGCCCTTCCCCAAACATCTCATTGCACCATGTGGATGTTTGCACTGTGGCGTAAGGAGTGCAAGTCAGAATTATGCCACTCCACACCTGGCTTGATTTATCCGGCGGGAGAAAATGTCCAGCGTGACATACAAGCTTTGGGGCCCAACTTGATCCAGGTCAAATCCCAGATGTGACTGGGCTGTGTCTATTCCAGGAGGCTTTGATCACACCTGTGTTTCATATTCTTTGAACAACACCCCCCACCAGATATTATTGGGTTCTGAGCATGCCCTGTCTACCTGTACAGTGTGTTGAGAAAGAGATTCAAATGAATATACAAGAACACCATTACCGAGTCAAACCAGCCGTCTCCCTAAGACACAGTTGTTTCTTTAGCCAGTACCAGATGCGTAGATCAGAGGAATTGTAACAGAGCACAGAGCAACAACACAAGAGTACTGTGGTTCTCCACCAAGCCCTCCCTAGTGGTCTCCCAACATTTGGTTTTGCTTTTTTGACAGCTGTAGCAAATTGAGTGGATGTTTCCCACAAGCTGACCACAGTTATTCCAGGATCTTTCCCCCTTCCTCCAAGTGTTTTCAACTAATTCAGATCTCAAGAATATTGTATGTGTACAGCGAGAAGTATTCCACCCCCCTGATATAATCGTAGTTGGATTCTCCCCACTGCTACCAAAGTGACCAATGTGAAACGTCCTCTGCCTGCTTTTTTCAGTCCTTGCGACATCTTTGCTGAAGTTCTTTCCAGTTTGCTTTAGAGGGACCAGTGCTTAATGCTTCTGCCAACCTTCACATCCCTTTCCAGGTTCATAATACAGATGCGGCAGAACACAGGGCATACATTTCACACTGAAACCAGCCACTGGCAGATATTTTTCTTTTTTGGAACCAATTTTTGTTACCAATTCAGCATACTCTTTTATGTCATGACTATCTCACAATGTGAACATTTCAGATGAAAGGTATTTCCTCTTCCCCCCCCATCCATTTGTGGGCCACTGATGTCCATTCAAGGACACGCTGTTAGGGTTTTGTGCTTGTTTGTTTTGCAAACACAGGAATAACCAAATCAATCCTCTGGTCCAGTGGGCATATGCCTCCCTGCATGGGCTTCTCAGCGGAAAAGTGGGAAGTATAGCAGATCATCCTCTGGCCTTCCCCAACACCCCTTACATATTTGCAGCACAGAGAAGGGCTTTATAACTGCCATGGGTGCATCCCTTTCTTCCTCAACCTCCTCCTTAATTAGTAAGCACACTACTAATCAGTTCAGTCATTTCATATTCATTCAAAATTGCTGGATAAATGCTATCTGTGCTTTGAAACTTGTGACGTACTCTAAAAACTCTCTTCTTTGAGCATGTTTGCCAACGTGAATCCTGAAACCAAAAAGAAATGGATAAAACAGCAGCAGCCAGCAGCCAAGTACTTAGGGATTTGCATTGCCCCTTTCTGCACCAAACTGCAGCAAACACTACAATGCAGATAGTGCCCTGTAAAGTGGGAATCAGCCTTTGCCAGAGGATAGTCAGGTGTAGGGCGCCATCTGGTGGAAAACAAAGAAGTTATAGTCCCACATCCTCCTCAAGGAACATTTTATCACATCAACAAAACTGAACACATTTTGAGCTTTTGAAATCTGAATATATTTTATACCTTCATCCTATTTTTGTTTTAAAATCATGTTTGTATATTTCTGGCCTTTTGACATGGAACGTTGTAAGCAAATTTGAAGTTTTCTAACGTTTCTAAATCGGAACAAGCTTGTTATTATTTTCATTTCGCCAGCAAGCAGATTAGATAATTTAAGACTACAGAGGGCCAGGTGTCAAATCCTCAAAACCCCAACAAATAAGCCCTTAGACATAATCCGCAGGGGAATATAGAACAACTCTCAGGATTCAACGATCATGTTCATTATCTCCATATTCATGCCTTACACACCTTTACATTTTTTGTTGGCCTGCAGTACTTCATCTTCTCAATGTGGAATAAAATATATATATATGCTGAGATATGCATCTTATGGTGGAAGCTATGCACATTTAGGGTTTCTACCTGTGAAAAGGTGTGCTTACGAGGCGATAGGGAGATGTAGACACAATCAGCACAAACCACCAGGAAGTTTAATGGCACTTGCAGAGGAGAACTTACTGGTTGATTGCGCACTTTCAAGTTAAGCATTATTCAATGTGACATACTATATATGCTGTACTGCCAGGTTCCATATACCTTACTTGCTAACCTAAGAGAGGGAGGAGTGCAGGGATGGTCCATCTTGCAAGCAACACTTCCCTTTCCCCACCAGAGGAAGCAGCTTGTGCAATGCAGGGAGCTACACGCTCCCTGCACTTTTCCCAGTATGACTGAGGGGGGTGTACCTCCTTCTCAAATGAGAGCAAAAACAACATTGCAGGAGTGGCAGGCTCCTCCTCCTGTGCAATGCAGGCATTGCTGACTATGCAGTCTGTGCCACTATTAAGGCTTTTCGCTCCACAAAGAAGCAGTGCTTAAAATTGTCAAATACATTTACTTGGGATGGGATGTGGCACCTTGAATCCCAGAGGCAACACCCCTTTGGGATGCAAACAACCACTTGCTGTTTTTTTCTTCTTCTTCACTAAACTTATTTGAGAGGAGGGGAAACATACCTCCATAAAGAGGTGATGTTATGGGGATGAACATAAAGGCAGCTCTATAAACATAGGTTTACCAATGCAGATGTAGATATAGTTCCCACTTGCCAAGAGGAGGGTCGTATCACGATATTTACATTATGTATCCCTCTCCCTTGTAGTCATTCATTAACTTCTCATATTGCCATTCATAAAGGTAGCCATTCAACTCTTTGTCCAAGGCAGCAATCTTGTGCACACTTACCAAAGAGTAAGCCTCACTGAAAACAGTGGGAGTTATTGCCAAACATGCTTAGGATTGAGTTGTAAAACAAGCATCTTGCGGGTTTTTTGCTTTAGGCTTTTTAAAAGTATCCTGGTTTATAGGCCTACTCTGGCATGGGGGAATTTTGGGATACAAAACTTAAAGTGAAACCCATTTTCTTCCTCATTATACTTCAGTGGATGATATTTTACTGATACTAGCAAGGACACATGTCATATTAAAGCATCATGCCGTTATCCAATCTATTGCTCAAGCCGCATGCTGGTAACAGGGAGATGAAGGGGCAGGTATTCCTCATTACTTAAGTACATGTTGATCTACAATGTCAGTGATTGTGAGTATAGTTTCTAGGGAATTTGCTGGCAATTCCAGATGATGTTATCAAATATCATGTAAACCTGAGGATGAGGAATTATATTGTAGCATAATGTGAAAAACGATCTTTCCAAGCAAGGGCAAGTTTTGCTAAAAGCATCATAAAGTAGTGTTGTTCCCTTGGAGCGTTCTGGGGCCGGGAGGAGATGGCTGTCCTTTATGGCTGAATCTTGTTCACCCAACTCTTACCTGCATGGGAATGGCAAGTGTCAGCAGTAACTCGGTACAGCCCAACAGAAAATTAAGGCACCATGCTGCAGCCAGCACCTCTGCTGTTAAGTCCCAAAGAGTGAATATCCAGAAAGACACCCATCCCCATGCCAATCCTACTTTGGTGTGCGGGGGAGGCAGGTTCCAAGTAAGGCAATACGTATTAATTACTATCTCCCTCAGCAAACCTGCCTTTTCCTTAATCTTCACCAAGTTCTGCAGGAAGATCTCATGTGGCAAAGCGCCCGTGGCAACATTTCATGCCCCTCTACAAGTGAGGGGCACAGAGAGAGTGTGTAGATTTGCCCAACACCATACAGCATATAATGGAGGAAAAACTGAGGCTGCCTGGACTCCCATTGAAAATTTGAGATTGCTGGATCTTTGAGAACTAGGCATGCCTTGTAGCAGAGAAAACCAGCTAGGTGTCAAGAGCATCAAGGGAAGAAGGAACCAGGGGGGAGCTTGATTAATCCTGCAGCTTAGGACTTACCCTGCTTTTCCAGTTGCTTTGGCCTTGGGTTTGGTATGTGAAGGGAATCACATGGCAGAAGGGGGCAGCATTGGTGTTAAGGGGAGAAGGCGGTGAAAGGAGCCAGTGACAAGGCAATAACATTCTGCCACAAAACCCAAGAAACCTCAGCGGTGAGAACCTCAGTCCTACAAACCTGGTGCTTGAGGATTATCCTTTAAAACGCAACATGGGTAGCTGGTGATGATAAAGAGCTGGAGCTCTGGGACCTGATGCAGGAACTGTGCAAACAAGGGTCTTGACTGTAAGTGCTTTGGTAAGGAGCAGAGAAACAGCTGCCGACGCCTACAGAGCCCCACTTTATATGTACTGGTGTAAGTGTACATTTCTGCTTCCAACATGCTTTGCCCCCCTTGTGTACCACTCAGGGATGCTGGAATGCAACAGTCTGCTTTGGGTGTGATCTCAGCAAGCCCTAGCCCTCAATCAAAACATCTAAGGCCTACGTCCCCTCTAGCAGGGTCCCGTCTCAAAATAGGAAGCAGTGCAGGTTTTCAGCTTCTCTCTCTCTCTTTCTTTGGTATCTCTCTGCCTCGGACTGCTGCCTTCTGCTCTGCCTGCCCCTATTCAGGCCTCTGCTTGCAGGGGAAGGACACTGGCCAGTGCAGAGATGAGATGGGCGTAGATCTCAATCCCGCGAAGGAAGACCTGCTCATTCAGGAACTCGTTGTGGTCATGCAACAGCACAGGGGTGCGGTTCATTGGGGAGAAGCCGATAGCCGGGTGTCCTGCCTGCAACACAGTGGGAGGAGGAGACAAGAGAAGCTCAACCAAAGTACTGGAAGAAATCAACTGACAAGATAAATGCACACAGGAAAGGCACTTGCACTCACCGCTCTGATATAGCGGCTGTCTGTGGCAGCAGGGAAGATCTCGCATTGCAGCTTCATGTTCCTGACAAAGACAGAGATACTATGACAGGGGAGCTCCCATTGCTAAGCTAGGCTTTTCTTTCTCCTGCCATGGAGGCTCCAAGCTGCCTGAAGGCGGGATTCAGATGGTGAAAATTTTTAAAAATGGAGCACAGGGGACCTCGGATGAACAGAATGGGAGACGTTGGGAAGGGTGAGGATAACTGGGCCACTCTCCTGTTCTCCATACTGATCCCTAAGGGAGTCTTTTTCTGAATGCCTTGAATGTTAGGTTTCCCCCCTCACACATCCCTCCCTCCAAAATGATGTCGTGTTTACAGTTCCTTCTGCGTCCGGCAGGTGAAAACATCCACCAGCCTCTACAGGTGTCTTCAGAAGAGTGAGTGTGAGAATGGGGGGAATGAGGCGTCTTACTCACATGTCCCTGCAGGTGCCACTGAACGCCTTCCACCAGGGGTCAGATTCCTCTGTGGAGGTCACCGACTGATCCGTGTATTTCTAGCCCAAAGAAAAGGGTAGAGGGTGAAGCTTGGAGGAGGCAACAGGGCACCTACAGTGCAGGAGACTTGTGGCAAGGGCTCGGCAGAAGCGGCAGCAGGAGTGCGAGAGGTTGAGGGAGACGAGGCAGAACAGAAGGGCAGCCATATTGAGAGAGGAGAGGCCCAAGAGGGAGATGGAGGAGAGAGGGAGAGAGAGAGGTGGCAGCAGCAGCTGCAGCAGCACAGGCGGCCATGTAGCCATAAGCCAGGAACAGAGCTATGCGCCTAGATCTAAGGGGGTGGCAACAGGCTGCTGGAATATTCCCTCGTCTCCACAGTTACCTGGTGGAACTCATAGCTAACACCTTCCCCAGCCGCCCGGCACCAGGCTGTCAGCTGCTCCTCAAATGCCTGCAGAGCAGAAACAAAGCAACATGGAGCGTTACTTATTTCATCCAGGAATTGCTTCCTGTGAAACATCTTGAATCTGTTTAACAATAAAAACATCATCAGTAAAAACATATAAAAGTCATTTCAGAGATAATAACAGATAACAGACCGGATTTTTTTTAAAAAGAACCCAACTTATAAGGCTTGTTTAAGAAAGCACAGTCTTCAATAGGTGCTGGAAAAATAGAATCTCTGATCTGTATGTAGCAGGAAGGAGGTCCAAGGGGTAAGTACTGCCACACTAAAGGCAATGTACATTGTCCAGAAAGGACCTCCTGATGAAACGGTATCTGGAGAGGGTTCTCTCCTGCAGAGTGATCAGCTGGGTGTAAAAGGGGTTAGTTGATCTCAGAATGATTCAGATTTCAGTTTATGCCACAGTCCTTCTAACTCATCCCAGAATCCTCTGCACTCCTTCCTGCCATTCTTACCCCCACAAATATAAAAAATCAAATGCTCCTTAAGCTTAACCACTGATGCAAGGATCCATGCTGGCTTAGAACCATGCCAAACCTCTGAGGCTTCCCTCAACTGCTTCCCCAACTGGCTCCTTCCTCTCTTGCAGCCTCTGAAGGCGGGTCCTGAAACTGGAGATGATCCTTCAGGGCAAGGAGGGAAAGTGGAATGGGAGAGTCAGCAGGGCTCTTGGAGGTACCTTACAGACAAAGAAATCAGCCCCTTCAGTTCTCCTAATCATAACCAGTAAGGGTTGCAAGGTGCTTTCATGTGATCAATGATAACCAATGCAAGACAAAAAAAATTATAACATTTCGTGATATTTTATAGGATGCCTCAAACAATTTTAACATAAGAAGCCTAGGAATGAGAGCTCTAGGTGACTCAGTCTAATGCAGGAAGAGTAAGCATACACTACCCAGCCATTTCCCAGTAAACATATTCCAAGCAATACCGCACAGCCTGAAAATTAGTCGCCATTCCCCTACCTCCTCCTTTCTGTCAGTAGCCAGATACCGTACCTTTAAATCTACTGTGGGAGGGATGCGGATGTCAAAGGCAGCAGACATCTCAGAAGGGACCACATTGAAGGAGATGCCCCCATTGAGCATGGTCAGGTTGAGGGAAGTGACGTCACCCAAGGTAAGGTGCTTCTCTGATTTCAACCTGCAAGAAACAAGGGAGAAAGACTTTCACCCCACATCTTTGAAACTCTGCACTTAATTGCTCCCTAAGTCCCAAGGGTGAAGAAACAGGAGGCTAAAATCACTGTTCCAAGTATTGGCAGGAACAGTGGGCATTTTCAGTTGTCAGAGCAGCTAATATTCCCGCCCATAAGAAGCGGAGTCCAAATGACAGGTGACTCATACAGCAGCTTACAAGTGGTCTTGGAAACATAGACACGTTCCACTGCAAGCCTCTTGTCTCAGGAACAATGAGTGCCACTAATGCTGGGATAGGGGACCAGAATTCTTCCAGATGTAGTTGGCCTACAACTCCCACCATCCCTCACCACTGGCTATGCTGGTTGGAGCTGGTGGAAGTTGTAGTGCAACAACATCTGGAGGGCCATAGGTCAGTTCCCTCCCTGCAATAAAGCTTCTCTGCCTTTGCCCAGCAGGGCTGTTGCTCATGGGCTCTACAACAACCTGAATGTTCCTCAACCCACACAGATGGCAACGAGTCACGCATCCGTGTGGCCCAATGAATAATGCTAGCATCAGTCCTAAGGGAGGGCTCTATCTCAGTTACGAGGACAAACTTAAGGACTGAAAGGCCTTTGCACATTAGAAATGGTTGCCAAATAAATAGCAAACAAAAGTGAGCCATAGAGAAGGTCAGGAGAAGCCCCCTTCCCAACACAGTCAGGCTTCCCATAGGGGCTTCTTTTTTCCTCACCTTTGTTTCTCACGCTCTCTAAACTCCAGGAAGGAAGTAATCACTCTGTGCTATGGGCAAGAAAGCAGAAAAGTCAATACAACAATATGGAACCATAGATACATATTCTAATGAGCAAATGTTTTTCAAGGTGGCCCAGCAGCTGGATGGCACCAGGCTCAAAGGCTTGTGTAAAGAAAGGTCTATGAAAACAGACCTCAGCTCGGATGGCTGAAGGCATTGCTTTTAGATCTAAGCAAACAATTCTGTCCCCTGCCAAACAAAAGCAGCCTCGCCTCCCACGCCACTTCGCCCCTGTTCCTAATCTCTTACCATCTTTTCAGCAGCTGTGTTCTCAATGAATCTGGATCCATGTCCTGGGTTCCCTTCTACCTTCACTTTAATCCCTGCAAAGTATTCAGAGGAAGCACAAAACATGAATGGTAAGCAAGGTAGTCAAAGCAACACCTTGATGCCCAACTCCTACAGTCAGTGAGAACCACATTCAACACATCTTTTAGAGGAAGCGTGCCATGATCCAAAGGATCAACATGCACAAAGAAGAGAGAATAGTATTGGAGTGTTGCACAGACCCCCACGGCTGACAAGTCAAATGGCTTCTGCAGTTGATTGGGGGGTTGTTTCTTCAGCAGCAGGAACTGTTGCTGCAAAAGCCCCTGCAACCTAGCCAATTTGCATCCATATTGCATACACTGTTTTTCAACTTATATGGGGAAATGGCATAGTCTATACTTTAAGAGCCCCATTTGTGGGCATCGTACTAAGAGGGCAACAGGGATGGGCTAGACCACCATAGGAGTATATTGAGGAAGAGCAAAGGAGACGGCAGTAAGGCAGCAGATGAGACATTGGACTGTGGCAGTATCCCAAAGAGAGGGAGCCAGAAAGCAAGTATGGGGAGAAAATGTGAGGCAAAGCCATCTAGGAAGGGGAATAAAAGCAGCAAACTATAGTAAATCAGCTTTATGGCAATGTTACCATTTGTATATCCAACAAATGGTGGATATCCTGTTACCTTGATATGAATCCCCACTCCCTTTTACAGATATAAGGCAGGGAATGCTGGCAATCACACTTATACGATCTGTTAACACTCACATGTGAATGCCGACTTTCAGACATTCACTGCAAAATTGTCCGAACTCACAAGTTACAAGCCCTTACTGAAAATCCCAAGGTTTAAAAAACCACTCAAGGAAGGAGGCTTAAAATTCCAAGTTGATTCCAGTGATGTTAACTGTGACTAAAAATCCACAGATTCGAATCTACTGTGAAAGTGAAAAACAGCTGTGGCTAAGAATTATGAAGTCCCAAACCAATTTCAACAGGATGCTGGTCTCATTATCTGCTCTGGCTCCTCCATAAAGCCCCGAAAGCTCTAGGAAGGGTTACATGTGTGTCTATTTTACAGTGAAGACATGGGTATGGCAAAACTCCAGAAACTACTCAGAAGAATTCGTGACTTCCCTGTGAAAGAGGCTCAACAATTCTTTCTTTCAAAAGACATTATCTCTCCCAAGATCTGTATTGAAAATGCAAGCAAACATCATGTAAGACCAGAAGTAGCCATGAGGGAACCACAAACAGAGGCAAAAATCCAAACACACAAACATAGAAGGATTGTACTCACACCACGGACATTTTTCGCCATAGAATACAGTGAAAGTGTCTGTCGGGTTTGCCAGGCCTGGGGGAAGAGAGAGAATGGAATTAGGAAACAACACATTTAGCTAGAAGACACAGTAGGCTTTCTGAAGCGCCTTTTGACCAGGAAACAGACCGTCAGAAAAGTGGCTGAGAATTCATTAATCTCATGCAAGTGAGTTCATCATTAGCCTTGCACCAGTAAAACAAAGAATCTTCACCACTGTATGCCCCTTTTTGACAGTAAGCCTGTGACCTAACAGAATCTCATTCTTTCTCTCTCCCTCTCTCTCTCTGGCAGTGAGAGAGGAAGTATGCCCAGGTAATCACCAAGGATAAACTGAAGCAAGGGTAAAGCAAAATGTATGGGCTGGTTCCCTCATACACTCAAGTCCAAAATAGCTTCCCTGATGGGAGCCTCACCTTCATCCAAGGCAAAGCCAACATTAAGCGTTGCAAACTCAGGACGCTTCACAAACATCTCCATCCCCTTGTGGCCCCCAATCTCTTCATCTGCAGGGGAGGGAAAAGAGACCAGGTAAGTGAATCACCAATTGCCACATAAACACCTTTGCTTTCATTCTCCAGAGACCAACCACATCTCTCTCTGCACTTGAGAGTCAAAACAGGCCCAAGAGCTTATGGCAACTCACAGTTCCCTATGGGAACCTGGAGGGATTTCACTTGTGGCGATTCAGCTCACAGTGATGATCCACCTTAGCAATGACACAGAGATTTGTGATGTTCAAATTGTTTCCTGCTGTGTAGCAGGAGCCAGTCAGTCTGCTCAGGAGAGCCAGGAAACTGCAGACGGTACTAATACTGAAAAGGCTGCAGAAATAGCCGGTATCAGTATCTGGTTACCTGGGCTGCAACAGAGGGCCAGAAGAAACATTCTATGGGAGAATGGTGCTTGGATCCCCTCTGATGTATTTTTATTGAATTAAACCTATGTGGTTATATGCTGCAGAGAAGGGAGGGGGACATGAACCTATATTGCAGTTAATAGCAGCAGTCTGTGGGGAGTGATTAAGTCATGGAAGTAGTGTGAAGGGAAAGGGTTAAACACCCACCCCTCCAGTGGCATGGTCTCAACCCAAATTGGGAGGTACCATGATTGCTTTTAACCACAAAAAGGGCATAAGGAGAGAACACAGACTTTCCATTTACATCCAGTCAGGCCCAAAATCCTCGGTTGTGGTACATGCACCCTCTGCAGGTGCCCTCTAGTGTTCCAAGGATGGAACAAGAATGGCTGCCTATTAAAGGATCTACAAGCAAAAACCTTGTTTTGAGCAGCTACAAAGACCACGTAAAGAAAAGCCCAGCTGGATCGGGCTACAGGCCCACTTACATTATTCTCACAATGGCCAACCAGATGCCTCTGGGAAGTCTGCAAGCAAGACTTGAGTGCAACAGCGCTCTCCCCACTTGTGATCCCCAGCAACTGGTATTCAGAGGCATACAGCCTCCAGCAGTGGAGGAGGAACAGCCGCCGCCACTACCAGATATTAAATTCTGGTTCCCCTCAGCCACCTCCTATAGCATCTCTTAAACAGACAACCACCAAAGGAGATGGTGGCGACTTATTTTCTTTTGTTTTTGGTGAGTCTGGTTATTGAGAGGGGATTGAGGGCAGTCAATACAGTGAAGGTTTGTATGGCAGGGATTAAAAGGTTGGGTTGACTTGCCTGGTGTAATTTGCAAGCTGAGAGGGGGGAGGGACACAAACTCCTACTACTTCCACTGTCTTTTGGGAGGGAGATCTAAGGAAAGAGGAGGGCTGGGCCTTTTAAAGTTCATTCAAAAGGGTTGAGAGAAATATGGAAGGAGGAAAAACTATTAGGGCAAGAAATACAAGTAAATGGGAAAGAATAAGCCCTTGGTTAACTCACCTGGGACAAAACTCATATGAACAGTACGTGGGAACTGTCTCCCTTCGGCTTTCAGTTTCCGGATGGCCTCTATGTACCTGGAAGGAAAGGAGCCTTATTTAGTGGCTGATGATACCCCTGGGACAACCCAGAGATGCTTGGCCTACACCCAGTCAGGATCATGCACAGATGCAGGAATGACAAAGGAGGGAAAGGGAGGGTGGGTTTTTTGGGGGTGGCGACTGGAAGCTAGCTGAAGCCTGGATCAGAGTCCATTGACGTCTAAGATATACCATACAGGGCAGAGCAAGACAAGTAATTCATATTTGGGCAACCAAAATGGTCAAAGGTCTGGAAACGATGCCTTATGAGGAACGGCTAAGGGAGCTGGGCATGTTTAGCCTGGAGAAGAGGAGGTTAAGGGGTGATATGATAGCCATGTTCAAATATATAAAAGGATGTCATATAGAGGAGGGAGAAAGGTTGTTTTCTGCTGCTCCAGAGAAGCGGACACGGAGCAATGGATCCAAACTACAAGAAAGAAGATTCCACCTAAACATTAGGAAGAACTTCCTGACAGTAAGAGCTGTTCGACAGTGGAATTTGCTGCCAAGGAGTGTGGTGGAGTCTCCTTCTTTGGAGGTCTTTAAGCAGAGGCTTGACAGCCATATGTCAGGAGTGCTCTGATGGTGTTTCCTGCTTGGCAGGGGGTTGGACTCGATGGCCCTTGTGGTCTCTTCCAACTCTATGATTCTATGATATTAACCACACATTAATAAGAATTTGGGGGTGCTCCTGGTTCTGCCTCTATTGCTAGAGGCTCAGATAGCCTTGGTGGCTATGAATGCCTTTTACCAGCTACAGCTAGTCCTCCAACTATGGCCGTTCTCATAGTTTGGCCATGGTAATTCATGCAATGGTTACTCTTGAGGGGTGTTACTCTTGAGCCTGGTCTGGAAGTTCCAGCTAGTGCAAAATGCTGCAGCTAGAGTGTTGATGCAGACGGACTATCGCCAACACACAACTCCAATGCTCAAAAGCTTGCACCGACTGGCTATATGCTACTGGGAGAGGTTCAAGGTTCTTATATTAATTTACGAGGCCTTTACAACTTGGATCCAGGATGCCTCAAGGAATGCCTGGTTCCATAGATTCGTGTCCGACCACTGATGTATTTGAGGGAGTCACCATCAGGGATCCCCCATGGCTCGGATGCACAGTTTGCATCTACCAGAAGCTGTGCATTCAGTACATGGGAGTAGCCAAGGAGGGAGCAGGGGGGCAGCTTCTCCCCCCCCATCAAGTAAAACAATAGAAATATTTAACTAACTGACCAATCACGTCAGTCCTGCCCCCCTCCCCCCGCAGCAAATATCCTGGCTATGCCCATGCGTCAGTACTGTGAGCTTAATTTTATGGAACTTCCTTCCAGTTGAGATCAGACAGGTTCCCCTCCCTGCTGGACTTCCGATGACTACTGAAGACTTTTTTTTATTCAAGCAGGTATTTTAACTGAATTCTGATTTTATGGTTTTAGATGATTTTTATTTTTATGATGTTGAGTTACTTGTATACTGCTTACGATGTAATTAAGCAGCACATAATGTAATAAAATAAAAACAAAACGGCTACAAAAGTTATACAAAACTTTGCTACTTGCAGGATTTAACCACCCACATACTATGCAGGCAGCATTTGTGTGTATTAGCAGTCTTATCTATTCCTGTTTACCTTTGGGGCACTGAACCCATTACCATTTAACCCAAGGCACACTGGCCAATCAGGATTAAGTTTTCCACCGACTTCTGCACTCACTAAAGTGCACTAACTGAAATGATCACTCCACGTGAACTATGATAGGATGAGATAATCTTCTCAGTCATGTGTCCTCTCCTCCGCCATGGATGGACTTACTGGATAGAAACACATTTCATATCTTGGGCTCCACGTGCATAGATGTTTCCCTCAGAATCCTTGAAGGCTGAAAACGGATCATAGCGCCAATATTCCTGTGGGAAGGAAAACAGCACAGAGCACCTCAGGAAGATAGGAGTGATGGGAGGACATGAGGCGCTGAATCCATCCATATCTTATTTGTCACCCTATGTGATTTGGCATGTGTGCCTGCTTTAAACACTCTGATGCCACTACAAGTGCAATTAAAAAAAGAACACTGTGGGAGACTAACTACAGTGGTACCTCAGTTTTCGAACCGCTTAGTTCACGAACAACTTGGAACCTGAACGCTGCAAAACCGGAAGTAGGTGTTCCGGTTTTCAAACTTATTTTCGGAAGCCGAATGTGCTCTGTTTTGCGTCCCCGCTGTGTTTCCTGTTGCACTGCTAATTTGCCTCCCCCCCCCATTGTAATTCAAGCCTTCTGTTTCCGATTGCAGTGTTCTGAGGTGATATCTGGAGCTTATATTTGGTGCTTTTTTTCCTGCTATTTATTTTGTGTTTTTTGCTTTGAGGCTTTTTCAGTTAATTTGTTTTTGAGACTGTGTGGATCCCAGTTCAGCTACTGATTGATTGATTGATTGTGGTGACTGCAGAGAAGGATAAAACCAGGCAAGGAAAAAAATTAATTTTGATTTTTATCATCTACAATACTGTTTTATTTACAGTGGTACCTCGGGTTATGAACTTAATTCATTCCGGAGGTCCATTCTTAACCCAAAACCGTTTTTAACCTGAGGCACGCTTTCGCTAATGGGGCCTCCCACTACCACCGCCACGCAATTTCTATTCTCATCCTGGGGCAAAGTTCGCAACCCGAGGTACTACTTCTGGGATCCCGAGTTTGTAAACTGAAGTGTTTGTAACCCAAAATGTTTGTAACTTGAGGTACCACTGTATTTTATAGTACAGTACATTGTTTATTGCTTTCATTTTACTATCTCATAAGATAGTAAAATTCATGTTAAATTGCTGATTTAGGGGTTGTTTTTAAAACTCTTGAACGGATTAATCCTTTTTGCATTGCTTTCTATGGGAATGCATGCCTTGGTTTTGGAACACTTTGGTTTTGGAACAGATTTCTGGAACACATTAAGTTTGAGAGGTACCACTCAAGGTACCACCACAAGGTACCACTGTATTAAAGAAACCATCTAAATGCCTACAGCTATTTACTTCTCTCTGTAGGTGGCACTCTGCTGGTATAAAGCAGGGGACTAGAATAGCAAAGAGGGCAGAGTTTCCTTGAGTTTAAATTATAGGGCTTACTCAAAGGTATCTTGCATCTCATCCCTCAACTGTTGTAATCCTAGAAAGTGTGAACTCTATGGTATGTATTACTAATCCCCCAGGATGACACAGGTGTTGATGTGAATGAAAATGCATCACACCAATATAAGCACCATCACCTGTGTCCTCTATATATTCAAAACATGAAGCAAGCAAGGGTTATCACACTTCCCCGGGTCTTTCAAAACATTCTGAAGGAGGGGGCACATTTGTACCACCAACACCCTTTCTGAACAGCAACATCACATGCAAGATGCAGAGACCTGAATCCCCCTCCTAACCTCAAACACCGGCACGACGTCTGTATGGGAATTCAGCAGTATGGAGCGGAGATGTGGGTTTGTGCCTTTCCAGGTCAGGATGGTGATCACACGGCCAGGGCAGACCTGCAAAAGAACACCAAGTCAAGTTGTGGGTTGCTCGTCCTGTCACTAGATCAGTATGGACAAAAAGCTCCGCAGATGGTTCCCAAGTACTTGGAAACGGTTTTTTCTAAAGGTAGTAAACTCTCTGTGTGCAATCCAGAGAGGCAGTAACAGGGGCTGATGGATGATGATGATGAGAGAGAAGCAGCCCTGTTCTGGCTCACACTCTTCTACCTTATTGTGGCTTGGACTTTATAGTCATTTTTGAGTTTCCATAGGGTCTTATTTTCTTCTCTGCAAATTGTTCCATTAAATTAAGGGAGAATTCGATGGACAGCAAGCACACTGGAGCCTTAAGGTGGTTTTGTCTCAATTCAGGTTTCTGCAGTAGCCACTTGTGGAAAATAAGCATCACCGTGAGGTGACGAGGCAGGAAAAACGTTTTAAAACTGCCACTTGTGGGGCAAATGGGTAGCGAGGGAAGCATTATAGGTGAGTAGTTTCTGTAGACTTGTTTGCAAGGCTGAGCACAGTGTGGGTTATATTCCAACCAAGTTCTACTCAGAGTAGACCTACTGGAATTAATAAATCCGAGTCACTCAGGTCCATTAACGTCAATGGATCTACTCTAAGTAGGACTGGCATTGGATACAACCCTGTTCATTGTGAGTTAAAGAAACAGGTGTGAGATACAGTGCCACAGGCTGAGTCAAAATGAGCCTCGGAATTCAGGCAAACACAGTGTCTCCTTATGGCGAAATCAGGCAGCCCCAAACTGCTTCTGCAGATCCAGGTCCACACCTGCAGTCCTCCAACGGCATAATAAAATGCAGTACTTTCCAACACAGAGAAGTTCCAGAGATCACTAGATGGAGTCCGGAACAGATACAGGACTCTAGGAAATTCATATAAGGCTTATGGTTGCTAGTCCTTTTAAAGTACCCTTGACTATTATGATAAAGACTGAGGTAGAGGCAAACTCCAATATTTGAAACTGACCCATTTAAATTTTAACATTTTGGGGGGGAATTAGCCTTTAACTATACATAGGAATAGAAAAAAGAACACAAATCACTCCTTTAAAAATAAAAGTTTTCGTTTTTGCATGGCATTAATTTGTAACAATAATCAGTCTAAAAAGGTAAAGGTAAAGGTACCCCTGCCCGTACGGACCAGTCTTGACAGACTCTAGGGTTGTGCGCCCATCTCACTCAAGAGGCCGGGGGCCAGCGCTGTCCGCAGACACTTCCGGGTCACGTGGCCAGCGTGACATCGCTGCTCTGGCAAGCCAGAGCTGCACACGGAAACACCGTTTACCTTCCCGCTAGTAAGCGGTCCCTATTTATCTACTTGCACCCGGGGGTGCTTTCGAACTGCTAGGTTGGCAGGCGATCAATTAGACGGAATCAGTCTAAATACAGGCCCTAATGCAGGAAAGGTCATGCTGGATCTGTTCAAGAATAGCCTGAGAACATGGTAATAAGAGATTAATGGGATAGCCAGCTCATGAAGAGATTATAGGCTGCACGAGGGCTGCAACAAATTATAAAACAGCCAATATGAGCACCAGCATTATCAGAATGCTTCCCACAGCGTGGCTTAATCAGAAGGTTGCCTGAGAATAAATCTGAAGACATTCCTCACCACCACTACCTTGAACCACACAAATCAAGGGGGCATAATTAATCAAAACTTGTTCAAGACTGCCATTTATTTATTTATTATGCTTCTATTTCACCCTTCAAGTCAGGCCAACACATGTGGTCCTGAAGAGCCCTATCTCGGGAATTCCTCTCTCTTCCCCACCAAAAAACCCATTTGGCTCCATCCCAAGTCCTCCCTTGATCCTCAGTTCTTCTTCCCCATGGCCTCCTTGTCTAGCATCTAGTCTAGCATCCTGCTCTCACAGTGGCCAACCAGATGCCTGTGAGAAACCTGCAAGAAGGACCCAAGCACAAGAGCTTCCTGTGGTTTCCAGCAACTGATATTCAGAAGCATTAGTGCCTCTGACTCTGGATAGGAGGGGAGACTCTGGATTTCTCTTTCTACAATGTTTTTCCCCCTGCACATCCCCTAAATCTGTTCCAGGGGTTCCCCCAACCCTTTGGAAAAGATTTGGGGGAGGGTTCAAGGCACACACAGGAAGGGAAGGGGGGAAGTCCCATTGCGCAAGTGGAAATCCTTGCATTGGCAGGACTCATTAGGAGAATATGGCTCTCAGTCTCTTTGGAACCTCTGCTAGGCACTATTTTGAGGTCATTTGCGGCTCTGACTCCAGCCTCCGTACTAGGTGCTGGTATTGGACACCAGTATTGTAACAGAACCGGTGATCATTTGTGTAAAACATTATCACCACCAGCAGAGAGGATTTGCACGATTAACAAATAAGGAATGCCAACATTATTTCACCACTAGGATTGACTGATTATCTGTATCTCAGGCCCAAACTGTCAATAATAAGTCTTCTCCGGAGAAGTGTTAAAGAGCACATTTTTTTGGCCACAAGGAAATAATAAGGGGTTGTAAACTTAATGCAGTGATTCCAACTACGGAATCTAAAATTGTGGTCTACATTTCACCCATGACTAACAGGAGTTTTGTGGACACTTTGCTGTGAATCCAACGCCATCTTCTTATTCCTGGTACTTAAAACAGATGGAAGTTTGACAGTGACAACAATCCAAGAATGTTAAGAAATATCCCTCTTGCAGATGTTAATAGAATAAGCAGATGAGACGGAATTTAAAAGACATGTACTGTTGTGATTATCAAATTTGAGTCTGTGGTGGTGGAACTAGAGCTCCGCGTTATAATTCTTTAGGCAGTATGGTTTTACAGTTTTGTTTATGCCTCTCATTTTGCTAGCTCGTTATTAATACTGATGTTATGTTGTTTTTGCATCTGGTATGAATAGTTTTATTCATGCTCATTGTACCCAGCTCTGAAATGTGTCTTGGTCAAGGGAGGCTTAGAAGTACTTTAAATGAACAAACAAAACAATGTTCTTGAGAGCCAGGAACCATTTACCTTAGCCCAAAGCTTCCTGTATGACAGGAGATTAATGGCACCTCCTTTACCAAGTCATAAGCTTTGAGAGACTATGTAACAGTAAATTGGAGATGGGTGATCAGACATCCTGACAGAACTGAGACGGGGCAATGGCTTTCTCATTAATTACCTCCACTTTCTGACACTGTAGGCCAAGTTCAGAGCCTATTCTCTCCAAGAATTTCACCGCTGTGTCTGGAAGGAGAGAGGAGAAGCAGCTGTGAAAACCACATATCAATGAAATACATCGCTTTAACCACCTTTTGGTCAATGACATTTATTTTACTTATGCATTTAACTAAAAGCATTTATAAATTGGCCTTAAGAGACAGCCAGTGTTGTGTAGTGTTTAGAGTGATGGACCGAGATTGGGAGACCAGGGTTCAGATCCTCACTTAGCCATGAAGCTCACTGGGTGACCTTGCGCCAATCACCCACTCTCAGCCTAGTCTACCTCACAGGGTTGCTGTAAGGATAAAATGGGGAGGAAGAAGAAACATGCACACCACCTCAAGCTCCTTGGAGGAAAGGCAACATAGAAATGCAATAATAAATACATAAAACCATAAATTACCAAGGCAGCAGACAACATGAAGCAATTCAATAAAACTTACTCAAATCATCAGTGTAGCCTCTACAAAAAGCTGCACATCCATTGTACCTAATGCAGTATGAGCAGAAGAACTTTTCCCCAGAGGTGGACAGCAAATGGAGTTGAAGCATCGGACAAGGTTTTAAAATATTTTTGGGAATACATCTTGTTTGCATACTCTGGCATTTACATTTTTTTTTTGCAGAATGTCGCAGAGGCCTCTTGTTTGAGCCCTCTGTTTCAGATTAGCTAAAGCAGTTCTTTGTCTTAAGTATTTTCCATTGAACGTTTTGAATGATAGCAAGCATTACTGTATTATATTCTTATTTATTACTTGCTCTTCACCCCAAGGTGGGTTACAACATTCAAACACAGCATAGCACAATATTAAAACTTATAATTACAGACATAAGAATGGTCCTAAAAACATACACCTCATGTCAAAAGGCAGGGTAAAGAGATGTAGAAAGAGGTATTTGGAAAGACACACAGCCGAAAGCATAAAATCATCTGGTAAATATGGTGCCACACTGGTTTTCCGAAGTCCACCCAGCACTTTGCCAGCTGGATCATAGTTATTCTCCTTTTTCTTGTCCAAAATTGTGAACCCCTGTTTTGCCTTCTGATAGCACGCTGGAATGCCATCCCTGGGAAGGGGTGTTCAAACCTCTAATATTTCTATGTACAAGGAATATTTCCCAAAAAAGTGTAGAATTTTTGGGTGTCATTCCAGCATTTGTTTCTATGGAAGGCTCTCTTATATTGCAGTGGCAATAATGCAACCCTGAAACTGGCAGAAGATGAGGCTTCAGGACAGAGGCTGATCTCTCACTCCACACTGCTTTTTGCAGATGGACACAGTTGTTGGGCAAGGGGGAAGCAACAAGAGCAACTTGCACCTTTTCATTTTTTTTCTCTGAAGCTCAGTGTGTCAAGTAAAGAAAAGGACTGCCTTGCCCTCCCCTTCCACTATTCTTCTGCTCTGGGGATTATTTTGACATATTTTGTCATTTAATCTGGAAAGGTAATTTCCAATGCTTCCCATTGCACACTTTATATCCATCCATTCTCCCTGCCCCCACCCCCCAGTTCACTAGCCAGTTTGACAGGGACCAGCCAAGGCATGTTGAGAAGTTAAAGCTTTCTAAAGATGGTAGGCCTGCATGGAGCAGTGTTGCCTAATTTTCCTTGTAGATGAAATCAAAAGTACAATTTCTGCAAGGACTACAGGGTCAACTGCATACTACTGACTGTGTCCAGAGAGTGTTAAGTGTTCTTGTTTTTTTTGCAAAGCTAGCCCTCTCCTCCTGGCAGCCCCTCTCTATTTCAGAACCTTCTATGTGGGCCTCCTTGACCCAGTAGGGCAAAACAAACGGAGGGGGGTAAAAATCTTTTGCTTTCATTCTGTGGTTCCTCTCAGGAGTTTACTTGGCCAAGCAAACAGGAAACAGACCTTATTAAGTCCCCTTTGATGGATTCTTCTCCCTGCAGGGCCCCTCCAGCAAAACAGGGGAGGGTGGGGGGTGGAATTCAACAACAAATCTTTTCTCCCTGCAAACGCTTTGTGCTGGAGTTTTCTGGCGCAGTCCTCCTATTGCCCTTCTCTCCTTGGACACAGGAAACAATTCATACAGTTTCATTCTGCCTAGCTCAAAAGTGTGCAACAATGATAGTCCAGTAAGAACCTAATGGTTTCATCATTGAAGAGGTGGTGCCCTCTTCATGGACCCAAGCCAAGACTTTCTCCACTGAGACTTTTTCACAAGCAACACTTAAATGGGCTTCTCCTGCTTCTGTAAGTGAAAAACGCGCAACAGCTAATTATGGCTCTCTTGCACTTTTCTTTCTCCCACTAACATTCACAAAGTGGGATGCATCCCAGGCTGCATATCCTATACAGCTAAATAGGATTGTGACATTTTACCTAAAGTATTTTCCAGTATATTCTTTGGCTGAAAAAGGCTCCTAGACCAGCTTACAACAGCCTGTAATAAGATGGACCCTACCCTCAGGTTTATAATTTAAAATACACAAAATGGAAGGAAAATGAATTGCTAAGGAGGAAAAAGGCAAACTCGCGAAAGCAATCCTAACCCCAGCCAGGCAGCAGCTGAAGTCTAATGCCACCAAGTGATGGCAGTGGGTGGGTGGGTAGCTCAGGATCTAGTGCAGGCATAGGCAAACTCCGGCCCTCCAGATGTTTGGTACTACAATTCCCATCATCCCTAGCTAACAGGACCAGTGGTCAGGGATGATGGGAACTGTAGTCCCAAAAATCTGGAGGGCTGGAGTTTGCCTACAGTATGCCTGATCTAGTGAATCCCAGGCCAGGCTAAAGGCCAAAGGAGCTGTTTTGAACAATGATCTATGCAATCCACCACCAGCTCCGACCATCACCGCATGCAGCAGATGGGGTGTGTGTGTGTGGATTGCATGCTAAGACAATAATTCTTAGTTACAAAAGTGCTTATAAGTGTTATTTCTGGCAAAGCGGTGGAGCAGTAAGCCATTGCTTTGCTTGAACTGAAGCAAGTTGACATAAGTAAAATGCAAATAGTAATCCAGATAATAAAATCATTTTTATTTTTTCCCAAAACGACTTGGCCAGTTTTCTTTAGACTATTCACAGAACTAGCCAAACTCACAGTTGGTGACAGTGTGAACAAAAGACTGAATGAGGTTGCCCATAGCAATCCTGTCATGTGTACCCTCTGCCATGCCTGGGATTTGATTTTCAGTGTGCATTACACAAGAGCCATTTTCCCCTCTGGTATATCCAGCACACGCTGCAAGCATGTGCCAGGTACATAAGGCCAGGGGGTAGATAAGGGGGCTACCACACAGAGGCTTTCTTTTCAACAACTTTCCAATGGACGCCATGCAGTAGGTGGACATGCAAGGGTGCCCCCCATACAATGTATTTTCAATTAAAATACACAATCTCACTTCTCATATGAATTTTGACCCTAGCTCAAAAAGGCCAATGTAATGCAATTCAGATGCACCAGGCAGGCTAGAACTGCAGCCTTTAAGCCACTCATTCCAGAGTACAGTGGTACCTCGGGTAACAAACACCTTGGGTTACAAACACTTTGGGTTACAGACTCCGCTAACCCAGAAGTAGTACCTCAGGTTAAGAACTTTACCTCAGGGTGAGAACAGAAATCATGCAGCGGCAGCGCAGCAGGCCCCATTAGCTAAAGTGGTACCTCAAATTAAGAACGGTTTCAGGTTAAGAATGGACCTCCGGAATGAATTAAGTTCGTAACCAGAGGTACCACTGTAGTCCTACTGGCTTCCATGGCCTCACTTCAAACTATGTGATATGGGAACAGGAGCCTAAGTTACAAGGTGACTTAGAAAGGCTAACTTTGCCAACTTTAGGCTGAGTACACTGAGGACAAGGGTTCACATGACTGCAACTCAATGTCTGCCTGAACGAAGTGGATGAGAGCCAATGCATACGACAGACAAAAAATTCTCTTCCAGCTTAACTCACTTGAGTGCTCAGTGCATACAGATTTACTCCTGTTGCCATGAAAACAAGGCTTAAATCCTCTCACTTTGTGACTCATTAATACTTCAGGATAACAGAGGGGCAATACTTGTCTGAAGTAAGCTCTGGAATGTGGACTTCACTCAGCACCAAAGTTCGAAAAGCAGCAAAGTGTTTCTTAGATAAGCTATTAACATCTGCTGTTTCACACTTCTGAGTAGCTTTGGGTGCAAAATATCACCATTAAACCCTTCCAAATTACTTTCTGATCTGACAGCCTATGGAACACATTATTTCTTTCAAATGGCAACTCAAAAAGCCGTATGTAGGGATTTGTCCACCAGGCATGAGTGGGGGTGGAGGAAGACAAACGGATATCACATCCCTATCTGATGTCCTCTGAGGCACAACTTGCACTCTATATCAGTAGTGGGGAAACTAGGGTCATTCAGATATTACAACTCCCACATCCCTTGCTGGCTGGGGCTGATGTGAGCTGGAATGAAAAAAATCTCTGGGAGGGTCACAGGTTCCTCATCCCTGGCCTATACTGTGCTCATCTGCACTGGGAAGGAATCATGGTTAGGAAGGTGAAGGTAGGAAGATTAAGTCTGCTGAAACAACGTACATGGGTTGGAAATGTGACTTGAATCTTTTGAGGAATAGACTGAATCATGCAAGGAACAGAAATTTTAAACACACACACACACATCCTGAAACTGGAGCTTCTATGTGACTTGCATTTTATGAAACATTCCATTCTGGTCTAGCAAGTTTCTTCTGCTCCTCTGCCTACTGAGGACCACTGGGGTTTTTGATGTGCATTTCTCCAGTAGTAGCTTTCAAAAGTTCCAGCCAAGTATTTCCGAAACTCAAGAAAGTGTCAAAAGTTGTTTGTGCTACAGTATGGTGATTTGCTGTTCAAAGTGGGAAAGGGCAGAAGTCCGACTGGGCGCATTCAGGACCTTGTGTTCTTCTAAAATTGTTCTCTGGATTTTGGCAGAAGGCTATAATCCAACAAAGAGAGACTCATGCATAAACCTGTTAAGCGGTTAATAGTTCAATCCTATGTGCACCCTTCCACTCTGAAACAGGCCCCATTGGGCTCAGTGGGACTTACTCTCACAGAAGTGAGTACAGGGCTGTCTGTCGCCTTATTTAACTGTGTTGAATTGTGTTTTCATTGGCCTAGTCCATATCAGTTGTGGCTTCCCTGTTTTCCTAATGTTGAGAATGTCTCCAACCAAGTTATGCTGGTTCTTCAGCGTAGTAAGGAATTTTGTGCATCTAGTCCTCAGGAAATTTTACTGACCTAGTTCAGAAATAGTAAGTTTGTGTCTGGTCTGAATCACTCAGACTGAAGATGGTGGCAGGCTAACATGGCTGAACATTTCCGCATATAAAAATGTTGCTCGCACATATAAAACTTTTTGTCAGCGGAAAAGGTTCTAGCATAACCACTTTCTTTACATTCTAGTCTTCTATGGGCAGCAAACCAAACCACGGGAAAATGTCATGGGACATGTTACCATTATTGCAAGATACCCTGTCTGAAAGTATTTTTATGTTATGATTTGATTGAGTTGGAAAAGGAGGCTAGAGAAATGTTCTGACTCTGAAGTAGAAAATGCAATGATGCATTGAAAAGATGGCAAGTGTACTGGATTGTATTATAATGGTTAATTTTCTTGTCAATTTTACATATCTTATCTGGGTATTTTAATTAACAATTTAATAAAAAAATTCCCAAAAATATCCCTGGTCACAGGTGTGTTTGTGTGTGTGTGTTTAATAAGGCTAAAATGTTCTGAGCTTCTCAGAGAAACAGTGGCATAGAAGCAGACCAATCAGGTCCTGGCAAACTCTGATGGGATGTTGTTTTAAAAAAGAAAGCAATGAAATGCATGTTATAAAGTGAGAGGAAAGATATTTCTCCTCACTCTTTATAGCACAGTTTAAGTGCTGAGGGGCAATGGAAGTCAGGCTTATCCATGTGATTATAAAGGCTAAATATTGAAAAGAATACATATGAAACATGGGGTGGTGGTGCTAGATAGATACTTACAAGCTGTACTCAGAATAATTCATATGGACCGAATGATCACAGCACAGCACAGATAATCATAGGTCTATGTAAATGTATCCAGGAATGCATAATTCCAACTAGATGGTTTTTCCTGGTTAAATTATGCTGTATGTTAAAAATGCATTCAGTGCATCTTAGCCAGAACAGGTGAGATAAAACCATTTCAAATGAACTCAAGAAATCAATTTGTTTTGTTCACTCTGGCAAATGATGCAGGAACATTACCTCCAGCTGCTAAAGTAACCAGCCTCCGAATGGACTCCCATTGGTTGCTGATTATGTAATGTTTCTGCAAAGCTCCAGCAGTGACACCAGTCAAGTAGACAGCAGCAGAACTTCGCCTTTTTAAAATGAAGGAGGAAAAAGAAAACACCCTCCGTACCATAATCAGGCTCTGGCTGGACAGTCTTGATTCTCAGATATTCCCGGAAGAGGGTGACTGATGGATCTTCTTGGGGGTCCTTCTCCCCTTGCCTTTTAGGGTCTTTCTCTGGCAGCATGTTAGCCTTCTGGACACAGGACATTAGAGTCCTCTGTGAAATTAAGAAGTGAATACATAGGAAATGCAGAGAGCAAGAGCAAGAATATCATTCTCCCTTATTTACTGTTCAGAGTGGAATTGCGCTGCTACAGGTACTAACTTGTATAACCACATTTAATTCCTGCTGTGCCTTCTCTCGCTTTCCTGAGGCTGCAGCAACAGGAGGAAATTGCCAGATGGCACCAATAATTGACTGGTGATTTAAAAACTTCCCCGAAATGGATTCGCTCCCAAAATTGTAATGGTTCAAAAAACACACATCCAAAGCTATGAAAGCTGAGCTCAACACTTGAGGGAAATCATCATTGCACCCAAGTGGGGGGGAAAATCCCTATCAAGGCTTTCTTTCAACTCAATTACACCTACTACTATGAAGGTCACAAGGTTTAATCTGAAAATGAGCATGGCCATGTGCACTTTCTACAACAGCTTCTTCTGGGTATTGTGTCTCTTACAGAGCTCTTGGGCTAGAGCACAAGGCAACTTTTGCTGGAAATGAGAAATGACTGTACAGTAATGGCAAGAGTAACGGGTGATGTGTTCTCTTAACACCTACATGGAAGCATTCAAACAGGCAGCTTAGCAAAAGGTGCTGGAAACACAGAAGGGTGCGAAACTGACCTACAAGTTGGGAGTAGCGTTGCCACCTCCACACACACCCTGCTGACTGTGTCCTGCATTTACCACAGAAACTCCACAGGTATAGATAGCCATGCCCTACAGGTGTGAAGAAAGCTGCATCCATTGAATTACTGCCAGTCAGACAGCTGTAAATGGGTACAACTTGCATTATCAATGTGTAGCTGCTCCTAACAGATGGGTTCAAGCAGTGCTTTTTTCTGGGGGGACGCGGGGGTATGCATACCCTGAAACATTTTGTGAATCTGAGTTTGGCCTCATTGAGGGGCAGTATTTCAATACGAGTAGGAAAATGAGAGTACCACTAAACTTTTTTTTAAGAAAAAAAGCACTAGGTTCAAGACTCTTATTGAGGGAACTCTATGATATGAAGCTCCAGAGTTTGTGCTCTCCTTTTAATAAGACAATAATGCTGTAGGATATTGAAGACTCAATATTGGGGTTTTTTAGACATCATGGTAGTGACTAGAATAGAAGGGAGGGAGGTAAAATTAATAGCACAAGAGAAATTTCTGGTGATTAGGTGTTAAGGAAACTGGTGAGTATAGAATTGGGAGAGGGAGCATTAAGTGGGCAAGAGCAAGTATGGGAAGTAGGGTTTTTTTGGGGGGGGCGTTTGTTTTGTTTTGTTTTGAAAGAAAAGGTATGGGGAGAAAGACTGCAGACACTTCTGCCCAGCAGCAGAATTTATTGTGAAGAAGGTGCTGCTCAAGCATGGAAATATTTCATAACATCCACACATCATAGTTGATTAGACAGGAAAAAAACATGGGATGGCAGTTTCATGTGGACAGCATTGATGCTATCCATTTTTTTAAAAGCACCCCAAAAACCTGAATGTATGAGCAGCACTGAGTCCACAATACACTGCTGTGTGGCAATACCTGTGTGGCAAGAAGGAAGGCTTGTAGAGTTGCTTACCTACCACAGTCAGCGCAACCAGGCGCTTCAAATAGGCAGGCATAGGCAGGTACAGTTGGCGAGCAAAAAAGTTCGCGAGAGGTTGTAACTCCGGTGGACTTGCTTTGCAAAGCTAGATTCGTGTTAAACAGCCACAGGGCGTTGGGGGCAGCAAGTTATTAAGGCAGCAGGGATCGAGAGGGAAACTTTTAGAAAACGAGCAGAGGCAGATTTGGCCAGGGGAAGTTTGGGGCATGACAGCGTATGATGAGTGCTGGAAAATGCTGCGGCTCTCGTTTCTCGTTTCTTCTTTAAATGAAGCATTTGAGGGCAGGGGAGAAGAGAACGCGTTTGTGGAAGCAAGGCTGCACTTGACAAGGGGAAAGGCCGGCCACACAACGCAGGCAGCGGGACTGGGAAGCCGCAGTCGATTCCGAAGAGGGGGTCGTCCTATAGCGGAGCTGAACGTGGAGAAGGGCAAGGAGCGTTTATGGGGATAGCGGTCAGGAGTGTGGGCGCCCCTCTCCAGCCCCCTCAGGACGCGCCTTCCCGCCCCGGCTGCTAAGTAAACAAGTAGTTCCGCAGGAACCTCTCTCCCTCCTCCCTGCAGGCGCAAGGGCCGGCAGTGCCAGGCGCTGCCGCTGCCGCGCCCGGGCCGCCCAAAGGGGACCTTCTCGGGCAGCCTCCCCGGGTCCCGCCCTGCCTCGCTCACCCACCTCTCCGGTCGCCGCAGAAGCCACTGCCTGCCTCCAGCCTTCCTCCTGCTGCCTGGCTCTGCTGCACTCGCGGCAGCGGCAGCGGCAGCGGAGGAAGGCTGGGCGCGGGGACAGTCCTGCCTCCAGCCCGCCCGCCGGCCTCAGGCGGGGCCAATCCCACGGGGGGCAGCCGGGCCGCCTTGCCTCCGTCTCAAGCCGGGCGAGTGGGAGGAGGGGGCTCCGGCGCACGTGGCCGGGGGGGGGGGAGCTTTCGGAAAGAGGCAGAAGACGCCTCTGGTTCAGGACTTCCTGGGAGGGAGGGAGCTGGTTAGGGTTACTGCGGAGGGAGGGAGGGGAGAGCCGAGCGCGCCAATGCACCTTTGCAGCGGGGTCCCGCCTGTCCTCTCGCCTTCAGGGCTGGCCTTGGCGCCAAGTTCCGGGGTTTAACACCCCTTTCCCCTCGCCCGGCCCGAGTGAATAAATCCTGGTTGCCAACCAGAGAGAGAGCGCGCGCGCGCAAAGGCCAGGTTTTAAACGGCAGGCTTGGGCACGTCCAGGGCCCTTCCACAGGGAGCACTTCCTGCTCCCCAGCGCCTGCTCTTCTCTTGAGCAGGCTGGCTAGAGGGTGACAGCGCGAGCCGCCAGCGGAAACTCGCAGCCCAGCTAAGAAACTCCAAACTCTTAAGTCGCCCCAGCCCCTTTTTGAAAGCGCCTTCAAACGCTCCACATACATCGCAGCCCTGTGAGGTAGGTGAGGGTATTAATGGACATAATAGGTGGGTGCCCCTGTGGAAAATATTGGGGCAGGGGAAAGTAAGTTAACACCCACCAAGTGTTTTTGCAAAGGTGCCAACTTGAATACAGCATTGGAGGGGAGGGGCAGGTAAGCCCCACCCCGCAGAATCGATCACATGACGCGGTTTACACACTCTACAGTACGTATTTGAAAGGTATTGCCCATTGACTTTGGGGACCCTAGTCCCCTCATTTGATTTGGCTCATAGGATTTGGCTCCTGTGAATCTTTGGGAGCCCATCAATCTATTGTCCTTTTCAGAAAACTTCCTACAATCTGAGGGCTCCTAAAATGTGCCCCTGGTGCAGAAGAAAGGATATTGGATTACTCCCACCAGACCTTTGGATAACTTTTGCTGAGAAAAGTTCTAGCTCGTGACTAAGGGGGCAAGTCCTTTGGGGGAAGTAAGTTCTGTTAAAAGCCAGCGGCACTTACTTCTGCATAAATATGTGTAAGTTTCAGTTAATCACTTTCTTTATGCTGTATTGAACTCCTGCCCCTTCCAAAAAGAAAAGGGGCAGAGTTCAAGCTTAGGCTTAACCAGGAGGCAGAATACCGACACAGCAGCATATTTTTATACTCACTCCACCTGCCATGGCTCTCAGCCTGTTTACTGAATATCCTATTAATATGTAGTTTGATTAGTAATATGTAGAAATATGGAGTTTAAGGCTCAGAAGCGCAGGATCAGACGAGTGGTGTAGTGATAATGAAATTAAGCCATTATCCTGAAATTAATGCTTAGCATGTTGTCTAGTACTTCAGAGCATTCAAAGTGCTTCACACGTTACCTTTGTTGTAAAACCTTACAGGTGCCTATAAATTAGTATTGTCTGGCACCAAGTGGCAAGTAGTTCCAAGGGCAGCACTCACCTGAATTTGGATTTCTTTGGAAAGAAAAATCACTGGAAACCTACAGCATTTTTGTCACATGTGAGTTCATTAGCAAGCTAAAGATGGGTGAAGGCAGATAGCATAATAGTCTTACTAAACAATAATAATAATTTTATTATTTATAACCTGCCTATCTGGCTCGGGTGCCCCAGCCAGTCATGCTCTTACATCACTACCCAAAGAGCATCCCCAAACGGTACCTTCCAGAGCTCTAAACTGCAACTCTCCTTTCTTTCTCAATCCAAGCTACATGTGACATATGTTTAAATAAACATAACTAGTTATGTTGAGGGAGCAGCAGCCCCAGGCTCATGGTTTTCTACTGAAAAACATCCACTTCTATTTGCCCCTGAAGGTGTTGTTTGCAATAAGCAGAACTTTTGGAGGTAAGCAGCCAGGAAGTAGCAGTTTTCAGCACACACACAAAAACTGATACAAAACTCAAGTCCAGAAGGGGCCCCATGTTGCTTTTTCTCCTGAATAGTTTTTGTTAAGGGTGCTGTGAACTATAGCTCTGTGAGGGATAAACTACAGTTCCCATGATTTGGGGGGGGTGTTAAATGGTGTGGAGACAGTAGGCATGCTTGTTTAAATACATGACTACGTGTCCTATGCTCTCAGATTCAAACTGGGTTCTTTGTTGCTTTACACACAGAGACCCCATCCTTGCTGGGAAAGAGGATGGTGGCTTAAAAATAAACCATCATCTTCAGCTATTTCATAGCTTTTCCAAACGTTTTATCTGTAATTTCCCCTTTAAAAAGGTGTGGGTGGTCACTGATCATTAAGGGACTTTAAGCAGTCACACTGGTCCCCTTAAACCTCTTTCTTGTCCAAATCCACCTCCTTCAGAGCATACCGGTACTTTGCCTGATTGCAAATGAAGGTTGAGGGGCTATTAACTGGCTTGCCAAATGTAATAAAATCTAGCCAACTCATGGTTGATGCTACATTTTAATTGAGAACTTCCTGGTTCACAGCCCACATTTTTAGCCACTACATCAACTACCTTCTCATCTGTGTATAGCCAATATTACACTAGTAACACTTCACAAAAAGAAAAGTATTGCTGCATACATTTCCAGATGCAGTTCTTATGTCCCTGGAAGGCAGGTGGAAAGCCTACTTTTCCTTATTGAGCACAACAACCCACAATAAACTCCTACTGCATATATTTAATGCATAATGGTTTTCACAGTACATAACCCTTTGAGATGTAATTCCTTGTGACACTTCAACTCTCTCTCCTAAATTATTTATAAATTGAACTTTATGAAGCAGAGATTGGTGCACTTAAAATGGCCAAAATGTCTGCACTAGACACATCTTCCTTTCAGTTACCCCAGTCAATCTGCAAGCCCTCCTGTACTCCTTGTTCTTTCAACCATTGCCCGTACCATAGAGATAATCAGCAGGAAGGGAATATTGGTGCCTAGACTCTGGGCTCATCCACACTGTTGTTTAACATGGATAGTTAAGTTTCCTTTACGTTTCCTATAAGTTTCTCATATGGCTGCAGCTGGTGTACCAGATGAAACTGGCAAAATGGACTCCTAGCCACAGAGGTCACTTGAATGTATCTATGAGTACCTCCAAGATCTGCTCCTTTGGGGGGGATGCAACCCCATCCACAACAGGCAGCTGGCCTATCTTCTGGACATAGGCACTACCTCCCCATATGTCTTCTCAGGGCCCTCATCCAGTCAACCACTGCATTAAGACACTGGTCCAGGGCTTGCACAGGCTCTCCTGAGTCAGATGTTATGGACAAATAGAGCTGCATGTCATCAGCATCCCTATGGCACTGTGCTCCAAAGTTGTTAATGACCACTCCTAACAGCTTCAAATAAATGTTAAGCAGTCCTGGGGACAACACAGTGCCTTGTGGAATACCATGGCACAGGTGTCAGGGAGCTGAAGAGCACTCTCCAAATGGTACTGTCTGCACTTGACTGTGCAGGTAGGAATAGAACCACTGTAGAACAGTGCCTCCGATACGCATCCCACAATCAGAGGATACCATTGTCAATGGTATCGAAAGCTACTGAGAAGGTTGTACTTCCTGCCCCCCTCCTAATACAGATCATCCATTGGGGTGATCAAGGCCTACGCAGTCCCAAAACCAGATCTAAACTCAGATTGAAGTTGATCTAGATAACCAGTGTCATCTGGCAACACTTGTGGTTGCTCTGCCACCGCCTTCCCCTCAAAAAGTTTTTTGGCAACTGGCTAGTAGTCATCACACATCACTGGCTCCAGGATAACTTTTAAAGCAGTGGCTGCAACACTGCCTCTTTAAGCATGGTTGGCCCCACCACATCATGCAATGATGCATTTGTAATACCCTGGACCTGACTTTCCACACCATGGCTTTAATCAGCCAGGAAGGGCAGAGGTCCTTGCAGATCTTCACTAGATCTTCAAATGAATGTTGCACAGCCGAAATGCTTTGATGGCACTATAGCTATGACAGTGCATATCCTCTCTATTACCCTAAGTTCTCAGGCAGCTTCCCAAATTCATTATGGTTGCATGTTGTGTTTCCCAGAACCTCTTGAGGTCACTGTCCTCACTCAGTACTGCAGCACTTGCTGTGCCATGCTCTGAATTTTAAGTGTCATCCCATACTCGCTGTGTGCAAGACTGAGTGTTTGTTCTAAAGAGTCATGTTCACACAGCGCCCAATTTCCAGTTCCATTGGGTGGGTGGGTCTGCGCAGGCCTCTTAAAAGTTCTATTTCTCTGGAAGGGTACAGCTGCTTGCAATTCTCATTCATTTCATGTTGTTCAGGGTGCTTGAAACACCAGGTAGAACAAAGAATATGTAGCAAATCCAATCTGACAAATATTGCATATCCACAGAGTGTAAGATTTCTAGTGCTGGGTGCAGCAGGCATAGCAAGAACAAAGATAGCATTTTATCTGTTGATAAAGAAATACATTCTCACCCATCCTATGTAGCACATCTATGCTGGCATTGCAAGCTACTAGTGTAGAAAAGGCAGGTGTTTCCCACTGATTGCAAGCATATACAGTTCTTTCAGAAGCCTGAATAAAAATGGTGATCCCACTTAACTAGCTCTTAATTAGCCATTTACAGATTCAATAGCCAGGTTATATGTGATACTATGTTTTTCATTCCTCTGAGGGTCAACGTGCTCCTTTTATGTGTAGTATTATCTTCTATCAGATTTCCATTGAGAAGAGTAACACCTCAAATGTTAAAAACCTTACTCAAGGCTTATTGTCATTCAGATTCAAATACACCACCATTATCTTCCCTGCTCAGGGTCAACGCTCCCTTGAGCAATTACTCCTATTTCATTTTTACACATTGCACTATTGTAAGCCACTGAATAAGTTTATCTCCAGCAGCTCCTCTTTGTTACATGCTGAACTAGTTAAGAGCAATGCCCTGAAGAGGAGGAAGTGGCAATGGAAAGCAGAGGACTATAACAAGTATAAAATAGTTTTAGGCAGGGCCATCTCTTTCCAAGTTTTGTTGGTTGCTAAAACAACAGAGATGTTTGTTCGGTATGTTAATCACAAAGAGAATATGGGCTCATGTCCCATTTGCAGGCATTGAAGTTTCTGCATATTACTGAACCTGACGTAGGCAGGATGGCAAAAGTTAAGTAACACTAAGCTTCTATCCCAATTTATGAAAGCAGTTGTTAAAAGTTAAGAGTTTCAGTTGGTTCCTTACGTGGCTGACTAAAATCAATGTTAGCATATGCAAACCATCTGCATAGTGAAGATACTTGATCTATCAATGTGATGACCGTTCCAGTCGAGTCAGTAAACTATAATAGTACATATCCCCAGCCCCTAACGGGAGTGCTTCTATTTAGGGTTCCTGAGAGCCAGAGGCAGGAGTCTTGTAACACTGTTTGGGACTCTCAGGACTAGCCACCCTCTTCCTCCAACAAGGCTTTGCTGCTGCCTTTTGTAGGTGTGCAGTTCACTTAGGATACTTACTCAGAAGATCCAGGGGGCAGACTGAAGCATTTTCCATCTAGGTGAATGACGAAGAGCTGCAGCAGCAGACTGGCTGAGGACTCTGTTTCAAGGAGCATGTTGGAGCCTTCTCTACCAACAACCCCACTTCTGAGTGAGAATCCTTCCCTGGAAATATCATCTGGATTTTAGCTCTTATATTACTCCTGGCCAACAACTCAAAGTAGGAGGAATGGCTTAAAGCTTGAGAGTAGAAGAGAATTACTCTGAAAACCAGAGTGGATGCTAATCACTTTTAGGACTATTCTTGAAATGTATTTGTTGGTTTTATAACAGTGAACTGTTGTGGCTTCTCCTAAAGAATCCTAGGAACATCATTTATTACAGGAATCTCCCCATTTATGCAAGGGTTGTGTTCTAAGTTTCTAAAAAAACTAAGTTATAAAATTAAGCTTATACTTTTTCTGTTACATACTAAAAAGGCCATGTTTTTAAGGGCCAATTCATATTTTTGTAGCAGATAGACAGATTTGCATGTGTACAGGAGATACACAATTGGCCAGTGGAGCTGGTCAGCATGTGTATTCATACTGCACATCCACCGGGATGTGCTTCCGGCTCCAGATTTTATTGTGCTTGCAGCAGTAAACACAGAAAAGCATGAAGTAGACACATGTCATGGCAATGAGCTGTAACTGGCTACAGTTTGCATCCATTGTATGTTGTCAAATACACACCATCATTTAAAAGCACTGATTTTATACAGCAAACATTGTCATGTAATATCCAAAGCAGGCACTCTATCCATTATTTTGCTCCTAGCATTCCATGTTCCTAACTGGAATCTGGCTTGGTAAAATAGTTATCAAATGTGCAGGAAAGAAAATGAAGCGTTGGACTTTGTATCCTGTGCACTGTTGCCTAACTAGCATTTTAATAATTATCTTGAGCATCTGGTGCCATTTAACCCTGCCCCCCTCCGTGCTCCTTTGAATCTTGGCATTCTTTCCAGTTCTAGGCTGTCTCTATGAGTAAGAGCCAAAGTGCAGAAGACAATTCCCATCCATGTCATTTTGCAAATAAGAAGTCCTAGAGCCATTAAGTAATAGTCCATTTTACTCACAGTAAATTATAATTTCACCATCCCTCAAAGAGCACACCACTTCCAGTGAGGCTGTGAGGCAGATGCAATCCTAATGTGCAGCACATTCACTCCATCAGTATCTCTTTTCAAGTATGAGTACTTGTACCACAACCAGAAATAGTCACCCATAAAAGGTGAGTAGGAGTCAGCTGGAAACGCATGAAGGTGCTAGATGAATGAGAGACCCAAAGATAGGCCATTGGCTCTTAAAGAACTAGGATAGGATAGACACTATGCTAAACTAACACCAGCACTTAGACCTGAAAGTTAGCAAGAACTATCTCTGTAGTGTCCCTACTTTGCAGGGGCTCAGCAATGGAATTTAGTTTTCAAAGCAGAAACTCACCAGACAGATCTATCCTTTGCTCTATAAAGAACAGCTACCTACTACTTTGTACTGTTAGCTTTCAAACCACTCACAGTCTGCACCGTGACACGTCATCTACAAAACTCTCAGACCCCACTGAGGATATTCTACTCACAGATGTCTGAACATACGTTTGCTGTGTCTTAGTAGGCAACTAAATTGCTTTAAGCTCAAAGGAGAACCTTTTATTTCATTCGTCTCAGCAGTTAAAATAAATTCAACCTGAACAGTTTGGTGTGCAAAGGAATTAGGATGGCAATATTTTAAGGGGAATTTATTAACGTTTAGTGCAAGTTTACAATACTTGAGGTGGGATGTTGCTTTAAAAAGGCATGTGAAGTCTTCTTAGAGTGGGGGGGGGGCATGCTTAGTAGTTGTGTTGTAGTAGTATCACAAATATGCCCAAGAGCTGTTATCAGGCTTTTAATTTGTGAGGCATCATAAAGCCAAAGGCAGTGGCTCCTTTGTAGTAGGTGCTTTGAAGTCTTTGGCAACAGCGAGGCCTCTTAGTCTTAATTTGGAAAAGTCTTCAGAGGTTGAGCATCCTCTGAGTTGGAGGGGGAGGGATCCTGTTATCAGCTAAGAATAGATCAAGCTACATTTGCTCACATGGATGAGCAGAGAGTAAGCTGACCCCAACACACAGGAATGTATAGGGGAAATTGCCATCTTCTATGACAACTAGCAAATAAGCATGTACAATCATACCTCAGGTTGCGAACGCTGCGAGTTGCGCGTTTTCAGGTTGTGGACTGTGCCGAACCCAGAAGTACCAGAACGGGTTACTTCTGGGTTTTGGCGCTCGTGCATGCGCAGAAACACAAAATGACATCACGCGCATGCGCAGAAGCGCCAAATTGCATCACACGTGTTCGCAGACGTGGCGCTGTGGGTTGCGAACGCTGTGGGTTGTGAACATGCCTCCTGCACAGATCACGTTCGCAACCCAAGGTATGACTGTATGCTGCTTCAAGGCAAGGCTTTCTTGCTCCACCCAGTCTCTACCTAGCATGTGTGTGTACACATACACCCAACAAGATCTGTACAAATTATTTATTGACCCTTAGCAGTTGTGCAACACTAAAAAAAAGTATCCCTAAACAGCTTATGACACCAAATAGAAGCAATCAGCCACAACCCTGACATATGGGCTACATTCCCTGAAAACCTTGTAGCATCGTTTCCCCTCTATCCCGCACCTCCTCTTTCTTGGGTGATCATCTATGTAACACTAACAAAACAAAATCACCCACAACCAGCCAACTTGTTACAGCTGGGTTCCCAAGGCATCACAATTATCACCAAAAGTTAAATGGAACAGACATTTAAACATAGTGCTTTTTCCAAAGAAAAGAAGGGGGGGAAAGTAAAGAAAGAAAAAGAATTCCCCCAAGTCCCTCAAAGGCCTCCTGGCCAATTTCATATATGTTAGTGTTTTCTGTGGTTTGTTCCTGTTCAGATCTTCCAAACAAGGACACACACTCTCTTCGTCTTGTTGGGGTGCCACAATTCAGCACGGAAGCCCACTTAATTGCCTTCCACCGATGGGCAAGTTTGAGGAGATCCCTTCCAAGAAAGAGGAGAGCAGTAAAACAACATACACGTAGAAAACACTCAATCCTTAAAACAGGAGTGTACACACCAGTTGAAGTAGTCAGCTGATGATGGAGAAGTGCGGCCTCGATGTAACATGGGCTGCTTGTGCTCCTGAAAGAAGAAACTGGTGCTGAAGTTGCATCATTGTCCAGAGGGATCAGTTCTTAAAAATGGGGCGAGAGGCTGACAGCGATGTGCAGATCAAGTTCTCCAGGCACAGTCACAACAAATAGCTTGAAAACGGTGCCACTCTGCTCCATGTAGCCTTGTTCCAATATTTCTGCAGGATTCAGTCAAGCCTGGAGCAGTCGTAACAAAAGCAGCCTCAAGAGCAAGCAGGGAGAAGCAATTCCCTGTCAACAGTCAGCAAGTCCTACAGCCCTTTTAAATATGGAGAAACAGATTCAAACACACAGCTTCCCAGCAACATGGCAAAGGTTCAGTCTTAATTCTTTCTCAGGAAGAGATCGGCAGGGCAGGGCAGATATACAGAGTACCACAATCACTTCAGCTCCCCAAGGAAGTTCAGGAGTGCTTTGTGGAACTCCTGAGGCTTATCAAGGTAACAGGCATGGCCAGCTCCAAGGAGCATGACAACTCTGGATTTGGGAATCTGTTGAAGGCTCTGAAGAGACTGAGTGCCCAAGCCAGTATCACGCTCTCCATAGATAATCAACGTTGGAATCTAGAGAGATCAAAACATTAACACGTCAGTAATGTTCCAATGGGCCTGGTGGAAGTGAGCATGGGAAGTACAATCCCTGGAGCACTGCGGATGAAGAAATGCCATACTTTTATGTATGGGCACTTGTGGGCACTTCTTTGAAAGCTCTGCTGGAAATGTTTTTGTAACATTTCTGGGCTTCCTTTCCAGCCAAAGCAAGTGCTCAAGGTGACATACAAAAGCACACATAAATCAGAACATTAAAGAGCAACAGATTGAAAACTACTATAAGGCTATGCACCCTTATAATATCCATTTTAGCTGAAAGTGAAAAGGTTATAGGGGCCGATCATCATCTTGGTAGGAGTTAATTGAGATAGGACAGCCAGTGTTTGATGCACTACTGTCCTATATGGTCAGCTACATACCATGCTGTACACATCATCTGGACTAACACAATGGCCAAGCGACCGGCCCCAGGGCTTATCTCCACCAGCTTCTTTTGTGGTTATGAAGCCAGGGTGATTGCTATGCCTAGCAACACTCATCATCACTTCACTTTTGCAAAGCTCCACATCTGCTTCCTAATTATGCATTTCAATGTACACCAAATAAATCTGATTCAACAAGTGTGCCTGTTGCCAAGATGCACAGAAGAAAGTCTACCTAGAGACCTTCAGGCAGAAGAGGATGTTGGGAACTAAGTATCTCCCAAAGGAATACATTATTACAAACTTACATGACTGCACGCTCATGTGAGGAGCGACTTGTTTTGTAAAAGGCTTTATTTGTAACTGACTAAAGGGACTAAATGTACAAAACGTGTTGGCACAGAAGAAAGATGTACAAGAGTAGCAAATGAGGTGCCCTCCAGATGCTGTGGACGACATCTCCCATAAGCCCCAGTCAGCACGGCCACTGGTCAGGAATGTTGTCTGCAACACCTAACAGGAACCACAGTGGCTCATTGTAATCTGGGTAGAGTCCTGTGCAACTTCTGCTCTGCAGAAGCGTTGCACCCAGAATCAGGCGGGTGAAACAAGAGAGCATACATTTCCATACCTAGAGAAACTGTTTCCATATACAGTGGTACCTCGGGTTACATACACTTCAGGTTACATATGCTTCAGGTTACAGACTCCGCTAACCCAGAAATAGTACCTCGGGTTAAGAACTTTGCTTCAGGATGAGAACAGAAATTGTGCTCCGGGAGCGCGGCAGGCCCCATTAGCTAAAGTGGTGCTTCAGGTTAAGAACAGTTTCAGGTTAAGAACAGACCTCCGGAATGAATTAAGTTCTTAACCCGAGGTACCACTGTACAGAAGAGTGAATACGGAGGCAGCAAAAGGCAGAGACAGAATGGAATGGTGGGAAAGATGACTAACCAGGAACAGAGACAAGAGGCTGTATTAAACTAACTTTTACTCAGAGTAGAACCTTTAAAAATAATAAACCATGTTAGTCATAAGCACTGATTTCAATGGATCTACTTTGAGTAAAAATGGTTAACTAAAACCCAAGGAGGCAGAAAAGCCTGGAAGCTGTTCAAAGTTACTGGACTCTGTTATTTTCCTGAAATTTCTTATCCTTAATCCAGTATGCATTCCATCCCCCCGCAAAAAAAGTCAAGCAGGCCTAAAGCTTCCTTCTAAACAATGAAGGTCAGCTTCCCTGGGATGCCAGGTGTTATGCCAAATTCTGTACCTGCTGTGTGTACACATTATTGGTTTTACACAGGTTCCCTTCAAAGCATGAGAGATGCACTTGTGAACGAAGACTAGGCTGACATTCACTTTTTCCGCTCCACCACTAGAATCGTGTGCTAAGACTTGCCCCCATGATATCTTTATCAAATGAGCTCCAGGCCACAACATTAGAAGGGACACCATGACACAGCTCCCTCTCTCTTACCTTGACCTGCTGATACTGCTGAGTAGTGAAGTCCTTGGTGCCTACAGGTGCAATGGGCACAAAGCCCTTCAGCTGCTCCCCACTAGCCAGAAGGAACGGAATAGAATAGCGACCACTCATGGAAGAGCTTATCAAAACAGGCTGCTGGAGTCCCAACTCCTTGAAGACTTGCTGCAGGAAAGCAACACGGCCTTGTGCTGTCTCAACAGTGCTGGAGCTTGGGGACTCCCCATAGCCTGTTGAGAAACAGAAGGAACTGGGGTAATTAGACAGCCAGGACACACAGAGGCAACAATCAACATGCACTGGTGGAAAAACATGAGACTGATTCCAGCTACTAACTTTACCAACCGATCCCCATTGCCCAAAGTGAAGAAAACTATGCCTTGCACAAGCTCAAGCCACTGTCATCCTTTGTTAAGCACACAGATCTAGGTTCTTTCCTCAATAGCATGGTTTTCCTCTGTCCAATCCTGTGGACAACCAGGGTCTTAGGAAGGTTGCAGAGACAGAGTTAATTGATCTTTGCCAGTGGTGGTTTCTTTAGTTACTTAGTGGTTAAGAGGGTGAGCCATGAGCCAAGCGCCTCCCATTTCAAATCAACCAAGTAATCTATAAGGTGGTCTCCTGCAAGTCACAGCCTCTCAGTATTATGGGAGCAATATTACTGAATTACCTTACAGTGCTATTGTAGGAATTACCAACATATTTGATTCCTTCTCTCAAAAATGTAGTGATTATGAATGCTAAGCATCATTGTCATTTAAAGAACCTGCACCAGCATTAAGTGTGTGGGGTGGGGGTAGAAATCACCCCACTAGGACTGAGGTTTGCTGCAAAATGCAGAGCTGAGTTTAGCTCCTATGAAACGAAGACTCAAGGAAGCTGAACATTCAAGGAGAGATAACTACATGGCTTTGCTGCTAAACCAACTAATTTTCAACCTGAACTTACTAGCAATTGCTTCTGGCTTCTTTTGGAAAAGATGCAGCGATCTGTCTAAAATTTACACCACTGTAAAAGCACCTTCAACTCATAGGTCACTGCTTACTGCTAATTAGCAGCCACCTTGTGCTCTAATGCAAGCCAAACTTATCTAAGCTAGTTCTGTCACATCTCCAAGGCAATGAGTAACTATGACAAAGAATCCCAGAGCAGGGACCAAGCATTGCCCTCTAGTGAACAGTGTGGCCTGAAAGAATATATCCAAGAAAGATGGGCAGTGCAGTTTCCCCTTGTCTCACTCGTCACAGACTTCACAGCACCCTGAAATGATGGGAGCTGTAGTCCAACAGCATCTAGGGTCCTAAGATCAAAGAACACTGAAAGCATCATTGGAATCTGGTGGCCTCATGGAAGATCTTCTAGGTGGCCATTTGCCAGTCAGCAGTATTCTGGAGGTCCGTTCTTAACCTGAGGTATGCTTTTGCTAATGAGGCCTCCCGTTGGCGGTGTGCAATTTCCATTCTCATCCTGGGGCAAAGTTTGCAACCCGAGGTACTACTTCCAGGTTAGCGGAGTTTGTAATCCAAAGCGTTTGTAACCCGAGGTACCACTATACTACCTCTCCCCTAACACGCCAAACCTTTACCCCTGCCCCAGTTATGTGGGAGTAGTTCAGTGAACACAGTAAGTGGTGCTTTTTCTTATACCTTTGCTCACTGTCAACTAAAGTGCCAGTGATGAAGTTAGATACACACATTTTTATGTTATTTCTCCCTGATGAACTGCAAGAGCACATAAAGCTCCAACATGGGTAAGTCTGCAGCTTATTCTCACCAGGCAAATCAATGGCTATTGCACGATATCCATTCTCAGAGAGTAAAGCTAGTGTCCCCAATTCTTCCCATTTTTTGGAATTGAAGGACTGACCATGCAGGAAGATCACTGCCAACCTGGGAAAGGAAACAGAGTGTATAGTCTATTTGCGAATGAAGAAACAAACAACAAACACAGAAGTAATGATAGCCTGGATGGGGGTGGGAAAGCAGTACAGATTTTCTGAAAGGGAGGGTATATACACTCCAGCGCTTGTGAGCTGCACACAGCCTAGAATTTAATGTAAATGAGGAAGAGAGTTCACACAGTAACACAGGACTGCAGCAAAGGATATACACATATTTAAGATACAGTGGCATAGTAAACAGTACTCAGGTTCTTCAATACAGAAAAATGAAAGTAAAATATTTTATAGGTGTGGGTATTGGGAATGAGGATTGCAGATCGTCACCATTGATGTCACCAGCGCTCACCAATAAGAACTCATGTCAAAGAAAGTGAGAAATTATTACATTATATGACTAACAGCAAGGATTTTGTTAGTGAAATATTGGAAAGAGAAAGAATTTCCTCATCTGAGGTAATAGTTTACAAAACTTTGGGAACTGGCAGCTTTCCATAAAATTATCTAGTTGCTTTGGGATCTGACAAGGGTGGCATCTATCTATCTCTTTAGTGCTGAAATATTGTGCTTGCCAGCTGGGAAAATGAGATTCTTTACAACAAATGTGCTAGCTGAGGAAAAAGGTGTTTGGATCTTCTGCAATAACGTAGTAGGACTTGCACAATAAAGCTACCATCTGAAAAGTCCAAAAGGTTAGCACAACAAACAAAGGAGGAAAACTTAAGCACCAGCAAGACTCAGCAGGCTATTGCTATCTTGAACCTTTCTGCACTTTGCTGGAAAAAACAAAAAGATCTGTGAAACAGCTGATCCAGAGGTAAAGTCTAGATCTGGATACTTCACCATCGTAACAGTCATCTTTTGGCACCTCTGAGTGGAAAAGTAACTGAAAAGCCAAAATGTATTTATTCTTCCAAGCGCTGAAGGATCATTTTTATCAACAGAAGTGCAGCTACCAGGATAGTTTTAATTCAAATATGCTTTGGATAACAGCCATCTTGGTTTAGTCAACAAGCACTTGCGTATCTGCAGAGGCACAGAATGCACTGCTGGATCAAAGGAAGAACAATTTGTCAAAATTTGTTTTGTCTCTAGTTGTCTGATTATTGCATGAGGACACACTACTAGAATCATAACCTAAGCTGATGCAGTTGCAAACTGTCAGTATGGACAGGCTGCCATGGAACTTGTTTATTATTTAAGGTGACAAGGGCCATTTTATCTCATTACAGTCAGAGTTCGGGGGGGGGGCTTACCTTTCAGTGAAGGGTGGCCCATCTTTCTGTACCTGTACAGCTTCTCTAAAGAAAACAGAGGGGTTTTGCAGGACTGTCCCTGTCAAGATGGTGATGTTGCCCGTGCCTTGACCCTTATTCATTTCTTCCTCCATAGCCCGTGGCTTGGGGATGTCTACCGAGGATGTGAATCTCTCATGCTGGATTGCCGGCAGCAACAGGTAGAGGACAAAGGTGACAAGGACTCCTAAGACCAGCAGCCCCAGCCTGTTGCGGATCAAAGTCATAGTCATCTTTTCTGAAAGAGTTTGAGACAGAAAGGAAGGAAGAGAACCACTAGGATCAGAGAATTTGAACACGGGCAAGGAAACAGGTGAACTCTATACAGCAACTCAAATTGCAGGATTACAATGGTGAAAGGGTCAGGAAAAATTAAGGAGGCTGTGTCCAGAGTAGCCTCTCTTTGGGCATGTGGCCTTCTCTGTAACAGCATGCATACTCCAAATAAATAATAAAATGATCCCACTGGGTAGTGGTGCTTTGATCCAGGTTCAGTGTGGGAACCGTATATCCCCAAAACCTCTTCTGATTTTGTACCGCAGAAACCTAGTCCTTTTGCTGAGAGGTTCAGAGAACCCAAGATACCCCATCTTGCTCAACATTAGCTACTTCAAGTTTGTCCCTGCATCAGTGATATTCTCCAAGTCTTTACGATACCTGCTGGAGCTGGGTAGGCTGAGCCCAAAAGTTGCAATTGCCCAAGCAGCTTAAGAACAATTAAGTTCTACTAATGCTTCAGCCTGCTTCTACACATTTTCAGTACATCCTCCAGGAAGAGCTCTGCCGGGTCCCATTTGCTGCAGTGGCCAACTAGATGCCACTGGTAAGCCCACAACCTGGGCATGAGCACAATGGCACTCCCTCACTGGCACTCAGAAGGGCTGCCACTCTGATTTTACACCAGGCAAAGAAAAAAGGTGGGCTGGCATGGGCCACACTTTAAATGGGCCCCAACCAAGAGCTCTGCACTTGTGCTCCTCACCTACAGAGGGCAGAGTAAACAACTGCCTGCTTGCTCACACCATGGCAGATGAGCACACAGTAACAATGAAAAGAAGTACAGCAGCAGCTGAGAAGGTTGGGCCTGTACTAAGAGGCAGGGGACTAATGATAACTTGACTGAGAGCTCTCCAAAACCTGCAACTGGCACTGACAACCTGCCATTAATAAAAAGAATGTATATTGCACCATGCCTCTTCCCCAGCACAGTGGTCAGGGTCTGTCTAGAAGGCTGGCCCATCGTGTTTTTATCAGCCACACAACTGGCAAAAATTCAGAAATGCGTTTCACTCCCCAGTTTATTGGATTTCTATGCTAGTGAATGCAGAAATTCAGCACCGACTCACACTGTTATTATTGCACAGGAGACCTGTTAGTGAAAAGGTGACAACTCAATCCTCTTTTCTCTCTCCCCGTTTGCAACCCACCTTTCTCATACCTGTCCAGAGGGAGCCTGCTAGGTGTCCCTCTGTTGCCTCTTCCCAATACCTTTTCCAAATCCCCCCAGGTTTTTTCAAAATTTATTTTGCTGACTCACAACACACATGTTCAACAAGCATAATGCAATATACCTAATGTAACAAATAATGCAAACTTCGCAGCCAAATGGAATAGCTGGTATCTCTAAACGGACTCTCATTCGTTGGCTTGTTTATCACTAGGCTGTTATTCCCATAGGAAACATGTTCCCATAGGAAACAAAGTTATCCTTATGCTTCTCCTTATAGTGCCTAAGGCTGTACATCATCCTAAACTCTTAGCATTCCAGTAGACACTGAAAAGGCTCATTTTTTTAAGTAAATGCATTACCTGTTAAATGTCCCTTTCCTTAATTCTAACAATAATAGCTAATTCAACCATAAACTATATCTACACTCTTAGGAGCCTTTTCTCCAGGGAAGGCAGACTGATATTTGTTCTATTTAGTAGTTACAGCTAATATTCCAGCTATCAGTGAGTGAACCGTCATATCAATATTCTCTGGTAAAACAGCATTTTAATCATATCATTACATGCTATTACCAATAGGCAATGAAATAGGCGCAGGAATCTAACATTTGGTGGGCCCTCAGTTCCCCAGCCCTGGTCAAGGAGGTCCTGTGCAGCTCACTCAACAGTGGACAGGGAGGGGGGATTCCTGTTCCCATGAGCCCCAACCAGAATGACCAACAGTCAGGGATGACGGAAATTGCAGTAACATTTTGTGAGACAGAACACACCTTGATAAGAGGGAAGCAAAAGAGGGAAGGGACCCCAGATTCCGAAGATGTTTCAAAATCTGCTGCTGATTTTCAGCAACTGGTATTCAGAAGCAGTGCGGCCTCAAACTGTGGAGACACAGCACAGTCACCATAGAAAGTAGCCACTGCTAGACTTCTCCATGAATTTGTCTAATCCTCTTTCAAAGCCATCCAAGTTGGTACCCATCACCACTTCTGTAGTTTAACTATGCACTGCATGAAGAAGTGCTTTCTTTTATCTGTCCTGAATCTTTCAACATCCAGCTTCACTGGATCTCCACAAGTTCTAGCGTTATGAAAAAGGGAGGAAAACTTTTCTCTATCCATTTTTTCCATGCTATGCATACTTCTATAAAGCCACCTCTTTTTCCTTTGCTATTTTGTAATGTAAAAACCCTAATAAAATTTTTATTAAAATAAATAAATAAAGCCACCTCTTACTTGCCTTTTCTCTAAACTGAAGAGTCCCAAATGCTGCAACCTTCCTTCACAAGAATAAACAACTTTCACAGAAGCTATCCCAAGATATTGCATACCTCACAAGGCTTGCGGTGATGGTAAATCTTAGCTAGTTTTCATTCCTTTGTATCAGTTACTAACTACTTTTTACTCAAAATAAAGAAGGGACAGAGATAGCCAAAACAAAGCTGCACACTAGTGTGAAATTCACAATCGTAAGAAAGAAGGGCCATAGCTTCCTGGCTCAGATTTCAATTTATCCTTCAAGACTTATCCTTATTCACCATAACCTTTCACCAGCTACCTTGTTGGATTTTATCCAGCAGCTGGGCTGCAGATTTGCTGTCCTTGAAGATGTAGGTTTTTCCCTGGTGCACCACCTTTAACTTTGCAGGGCTCAAGACGTAAGCCCGAGCTCCTAGCTTCAGGAACTGTTGCTTGAGTGCAACGAAATGCTTCTGCCTGGCGTACGTGGCAGGGCTGAGGTCAGGAAAGAAGGATACCTTGTGTCCGTTGAACTTTGTTGTCTGGGAAGCCCACGGTGCGTTCAGTATCCTCTCCCGATGGCGTACATCTGAGAGAGTTATTAGCACTGTACTGCCACTACCCTCGTGGGCATGCTTTGCTGGGAGACGGTATGCACTTTCAATGCAGATGGGAACCTCTTTCCCATTTAAATCCAAGGCAGCTGGCATCAGATTTTCTAGGTATGGAATGAGGTTGACATCTCCAACAGCTGCTGGGACACCAGTGACCCTTAAGTTCCGAGCTCGCACTCTGTTCTCTAGGCTCTCCAGCCTGCGGTCGGCCACCAGGCGCCCTACTGCCAGTTCCCTCATCAGAGTGGAGTGTTTGACAACACAGCTTTGTGTGGACACCACCTTTGTTTCCAGAGCTTCTACCCGACGGTCCGTCTCTTCCAGGTGCTTCTCCAGCCTGGCCAGTCCGGCCGAGAGAGAAGCCAGGGCTTGACCTAAAGCATCCCGCTCAGATATTATCTGCTCCAACAGCTCTTGTATCGAATTTGCCACGGACGAAGAGAGGTGCACCCGACGGATTCTTCCACCATCTTTCAGGAGCATAGCGCTACTATCTCTTGGGTGCCTCTGAGCCCCAGCCATTCACCTCAGCAAAGAGGAAACATTAACAACCTCAAGAAGAAGCAGAGACCATTCCTGCCGGGACAAGCACACAGCTTCCCACTGCTCCTGCCTGGTTAAGTATAGCAAGGCACACCCTTGTTTACAAGCCTTTTTTCTTTAACCTCCCACTTGCATACACACCTTCCGCTTTTCCCCTCCTCCAATTCCTTCAGTGACACAAAAAGGAGCGTGAAGCAGGCACCTCCGATGAGGAAACCCTCACTGGACACTTTGCTGAACACCGAGAGATGAAAAACTGAGTTGTCAGCTGTTATGGCAGTCATATTATTATACACATGCCAACATCCACATCCCAGAACCCCCACATGTTCTACTCAGCAAACTAGTCTCCCATGTAGTTGCAGCCACAGGTGCTCATAGATTTAAAAAGGGAAAGGGAAACAAAACCAGGGAGCCCCAAAATGTCACCTGCTTCATCCCTCTTTTGGAAAACTCCCTCGGAGATAAAAAAAATAGGTATACATTTTCAATGGTCTTGGGGGCCTGGTCAAAATCCCAAGAAACTAAATAGAGTATAGCAGAATTGGGGAAGAAGGGAGGGCGTTCTTTGCCATGGAGGAGTGTGCTTTTTGCCGTTTAAGGCTGCAGAGTTGAAAAGGAATAAAAATTCCTGAAGTAAACAAAGAAGGGTTTGCGCGGCGCTTAGCAACAACCGAGCTCTGCCTCTCGTCTCCTTCGATGCAAAACCTTGCAGAGAGGAGGCGGGAGAATCTCTCAGCCAACTCTGACCCCCCACATCTCTCTCCCTACCCCCACCTGGCGGGTCTGGCCGGCTGGTCTCCCCCACGTCCGAGCTCCCCAACCCCTCCCCCAGCCAACGGCGCCGCGCGCATCTCCCGCCCCTGTGCTCGGCGGCGGCGGCGGAGGCTTCTCCTCTGCCAGCCACGGGCTTTGCAGGCAGAGAGCCCGGCAAGCGCTGCGCTCCCCCGCCCTCCCGCCCAGAGGACAGCCCGGCCGGCCCGTGACGGTACCTCCACTTAGCAGCCTCCGCGGCAGCTGCGTCCTGCCTCCTCCCCCGCCCCCTGCGACACACTTCGACCCGGCTGGCTCGGAGCGAATGGCGCCACGGCGAAGCCTCCCCGCCCCGCTTCCACGGGGCCTAGCAGAAGAAGAAGCCGCCGGCCTGCTTGCCTTGCCCTTCTCCTCCAGGCGGAAGGCTACACCTAGCGGCCGGAGGAGGGACTACGCGGCGTCTCGGGCAGGAGCGGCGCAGAAGGCGTGGTCGGGGCCTGGTCAGCTGCGGAGGGAGGGAGATCCCCTGCTTGCCTTATGCATATTCATATGCATGGCGGCTCATGAGTACACGATGATAGCCGATCGCGATGGCAAATTAGGAAGTGTGTGTGTGTGTGTGTGTGTGTGTGTGCGCGCGCGCGCCCACCCACTAGCTTTGGGCTGTGCCAAATCATGCATCCGAACCTCCAAGTGAGTGCCCCCCCCCACAGCCCAAATCTGCCTTTGGTGCAAAGACACTGTCAAATGTGACTTATTAATAATTGCACTTATTCGTTAGTACTTTTTGCAAAAAGTAAAAGCGACTTACAACCTGAGGTCCAGTTGTGATGGTGGGGTTCGAGATCTGCTATTATTTCTGCAGCAGGGTGCTTGCATCCAGCATCAGCAAGCAACCCAATGAGCAAGAAAGGGGTGCTTTTTAGCAATTGAGAAGCTAATCAGAGTGAAAGGAGGTGAATTGGCCATTGAGGATTGGCTCCTAAGGTCATTCTGAAGAAGGCGTGCAGGAAGAACACCAAGGAGAGGCAGTTCTGTGTGCTCCAAAGCTCAGCATTTAAGAACCCTGGAATTATAAGATGCTTCAGTGTCTGGAAAATGGTGTGCAAGCTCTGTTAACTTGCAATAGGACGTCAAGAAAAAACAGCTTAAGTCACCCAGAAAGAAGACACTGGAGCACTCAAAATCACTTGCCCATGAATTGTTAAATTGTTATTGTATAATTATAGGGTAAGATTATACACTGATTTTAGAAGGTTGTATAATCTTAAGTGTTCCCAGGATTCTTTGGTGGGAAGTAATATGCTTTAAATGTACAGTGTTCTTTAGCCTTTGTGTAAACTAATCTGCTCCCACCCACCCCCAAAAAATCATACATTATCTAGCCATTAAGATAATCTCCAGCAAACCTACTCTAAAATTTGCTGCTTCCATATCAGATCTCAGGAAGGAGAAAGAGAACCAGACCCTCCCTCCCAAATGCTGTTGGTGTGCAAACCCCAAAGCTCAATTCTGGATGTCTCTTTTCCGTTCACTCAAACTGCAGTCTGTGGTTCTCCATCCACAGTCAGGTTGCCCAGTCTCCCTGGCAAGGGGTGGGTGTCAATAGGGATGAATCATCTCCAAACCCTCACCCTGGTCTCAAGTCATCTACCTGTAAAGGTAAAAGCTAAAGGGACCCCTGACCATTAGGTCCAGTTGTGACCGACTCTGGGGTTGCGGCACTCATCTCGCTTTATTGGCCGAGGGAGCCGGCGCACAGCTTCCAGGTCATGTGGCCAGCATGACTAAGCCGCTTCTGGCGAACCAGAGCAGCGCACAGAAACGCCGTTTACCTTCCCGCTGGAGCGGTACCTATTTATCTACTTGCACTTTGACGTGCTTTTGAACTGCTAGGTTGGCAGGAGCAGGGACAGCAGGAGCTCACACCGTCGTGGGGATTCGAACCGCCGACCTTCTGATCAGCAAGTCCTAGGCTCTGTGGTTTAACCCACAGTGCCACCCGCGTCCCAATCTACCTGTAGTATACATCCCTAATAAAGAGAGCCGCCTAATAAAGGATGTATTTCACAACATGGCCTGTTGAAAATAAGAAACATTTGCACTCATTCAGGCTCTCTCCTTTCTAACCCCTCCCAAACACAAAATGCTATCTCTGACGTCTGATCCCCTGGCCTGGTTATCAAAAACAAGCAAACAAACCAGCTTTTCTTATACAACACATGAATGAACACATTCATAGGCATTAAAAGTGTACACAACTCATTCAATCAAAGTACAAAAATACATTTCCCCTTCACCGGAATGATTCTCTTCCTTTGCAGTGACTATCAGACTCCAATTTGTGATTGGAATGCCAGGTTCATTGACAACGGAAGCAGTGCAGGTTTGCATTTGTGGAATTTCCACCTGTAGTCTAGCTGTGAAAGGTACAAAAAATCTTGCTAGGGGGAAAAACAAGCTAGAAAGGGAGAAAAATCTCAATTATATAATACTTCCATCACTTTGAGGAGATAGAAGCATAATGAGAAAACCTTTAGCATATAAAGTTCCTGTAACATGTTGAATGGCAGTTTTACAGAACTCTATAATTATGTAAACATTCACCAACAGTGATGTATGATGTGTATGGTAATTTTTCATGAATTCACTCATACGTATGATACAATAGCATTCTAATTTACAAGCAGAAGATACTAGGCAAGCCACCAACCTTTTCAGTCCTTCCTCTGCCCATGCTGTCCCCGTATTTCAACTTAAATATTGTGGAGCCACCATTTCTGCCTTCCCTTTCAAACATTCTGATGTGTGTTCCGAAATCTGCCAAGCTTTCCATGGATCTAGTTACAAATTACACTCGCATGAAAAAGTGTATTGTTTTCTCACAGTATTGTTATTCTCACATTTCAACCCTTTTGCAGCAAATCACAAGCATACATGCACGGTGTGTGATATTATTATACTTTAACTGGTTTGTACTGAAAACCCATGTGAGAACAACCAAGTTCCTAGTCTCTGTGGTTTCAGAGAAAAGCTTGGAAATGATGCTGTAGCACAGGGGTGTCAAACTCAAATTCATCGGGGGCCGCATCAGCAGTTTGGTCACCCTCAAAGGGCCGGTTGTATCTGTAACAAGTGGAGGTTTCCTGTGTAGAACGGCCGGCGCCGCTAGAGGGTAGACGTTCTCTGGCTTGTAGGCTGCCGCGCATGCGCTGAAGAGGCGGCTTTCTTGTGTCAAAAAAAAAAAAAAAAAAGCGAGAATAAAAGGTGAAGGCTGGCGGCCGGTGGCAGCTACACGGGCCACATGACGAGGTCTGGTGGGCCAGATTCGGCCCCCGGGCCTTGTGTTTGACACCCGTGCTGTAGCATATTGTGTAAGAACACGGGGGTCTAATTTGAATGGTAGAATGTTTGGTATCTGGTGGGCGGGGCTTGTGTGTTATGCTCCGAATCAGCCTCTTCTTGCAGTGTGAGCTCTGTTCTGTTCAGTTAAGAGGGACCAACTGCTTCTTCTTGTTTCTTGCCTCAGACTTGCCTCATCTTGCATTTAAGTTTCTCTCTTTTTTTATGATAATATTTATAAAGTTTTCATTTTTCAACCAAACATTTATAACATATCTTTTCATCACCTATAATTTGACTCTTTTGAGTCTCGAACTCCCCTTCATCCCCCCCAAACCGACTTTCCATCTTCCTTACATAATTTCCTCGCATTTCCAATTCCCCCTATCTTACCTACTTTCATTCCTTAAGCATTTAAGCTTCTCTCATCGTGTTATTTTGTTAGTTTTCATTATTATTAAAACTTAATTTACATTTATGTGAGCCGCTCATTTTTATCATAGAAAACGAAACTCTGCTGAAGAATGGTGGAATATCCTAAACTTGGGTGAATGAGGGGATATTCCCAGTTTGCCAGGAGAGTTGATTTTGTTAATCATCCCCCCCCCACCTCCACAACATATTGTACTTGTTGATTTAAAAAAAAAAAAAGGAAGGGGGGAATTGATTTCAGTTTAGCACTTCAAATCTTTAATTGTTTCAAACGACAGGTGGGCGACTTCATTTTATGTGGCAATTTACACTTCCTGAACTTACACTTCCCATGAGAGTTTCTTCCTCCCTGTTAATTTCCCTTTTATTGTACCTGGCTTTTTAATTAGAGTGTTCCCCCCTCCCTTAGGTAGTTACAGAACAACCGGAAAGGGCTGTAAAAATGAATGAATGTCTTTATTATGGGTTAGGTAACCCAGAGCATTTGTCTCTGGCGCCACTCAGTGTCAGCTTTTGCCACCACTGGCATATACTCCCTGCACGGTCATGTTTTAAACCAACAAGTTTGTCTGGGCTTGTGCTTTTTAAAAAC